GTCCCATTTGCTGTATTGCAAAAGAGAAAAGGAGTCATCAAAAAATCAAACTTTTTGAGTTTATTGAGGATTTTAGTAAATAGCCTGAGTTATTTCCTTTATACTAAAAGATATGTATAAAACATCTGACAATAAAGAATTAACTGTAGCTCCTGGTAATTGTGTATTTATATTTTTCTATCTATCTATACTTATTATTAATTTTATAATAATAAAGATAGATACGTATATATCGAAGTCAAACATCAGTGAGTAGAACATTTGTCTTTGGAATTATATTTTTCGTAGGTGGTAAAGTTCTTCATGTTACTCTGCATAAACTTATTTTAGAAATATCTTCAGATACATTAGTTACTATAAAAAATAAAATGGATCTTACCATGTCAACAATAGATTGTATAATGACTGAGATACGTAAAGATTTGGGTCGTGGAGGTGACAATAATGTACATGAACTTAACTTTACATTTAATTATATTTCTTACATGTTTATGAATTATTCTCCTATTATTTGCAAGGTATCAAACTTAATGCCTAAAAAAGAATTAAGGACAAATTTTTCAAGTAAAATCAATTTTATGAAGCAGTTTCATGCAGTTTTCAACAAACACACAACAATGGAAACTGCAAGGTTTTAGATACAATTCAGAATTTGCTCCTATATCGTTTGTGAACACAGAAAACTGTTCCCTACAATTGCTTTATAAGAGTTGGTAATGATGGGAGACAAGGTTACCTGAATGTCATAATGAACATCTTCAACCCAGAATAGCTACAATCAGATAAATGAAACATGAAAAATACAGGGGTCAATACAGTTCTTGTTTTAGATCTTGTACTTGGAGTACAAGAAAGTATTTATAATTTAGAGAGGTTTATTAAGTTACCTAAGCTAAATGAGCTAAAATACACAGGAGCAACTGACCTGAAGCTTATTAATTGATTACTGGGCATTTATGTTAAAGTTAAACATTATTTTACTTTATGTAATTGCATGATTATAAAAAGTTTATAAAAAGTGATTGCTTTTTATTATTTTATCAATATTAAACTTAATATTTTAATATAACTATTTTAAATGCTAACACTTAAAGGTACACGGGTAAACTTGCTGACAGTGTGAAGGAGAAAAAGATGAAAAAAATGGAAAGTTGAGAACTTGTCAAAGTTTGACTAATTGACATCAGAAATTTATTGAGCATAGTGAACTTTAGAAGCACATGAAAAACTATAAATATGTTTTTCGACATTGTCTAATTGAGGAGTCTGGAGAAACTCTTGTTATTGATATAGTTCCACCTCCTGAATTACATTTGTTTGAACATATTGTTACACAAATAACAGATATTCTGATGGCTGAGGACTCAACTAAAAAATTTTTAATTAGTAAAACTGTAATAAGGCACGGTTACAATTGAGGAGGATATAATGGACCTAACTGTCAAAAAGTATTTTCTTGCTTGGATGAAGTTATAACTATAGCTTCTCTCCTGATGATACCTTGTATTAAGATTTTAAGGAAATTCAAAAAGGGTACGTAACTAGTTAATTTTTTTTCACCTAAAGTTTATACTATATTTATTAGTTTTTATAAACATAACTTTTTTAAACTTGTTCATTTTAGTGACAGAATGATGTTTTAAAATGAAGCTTTCCCTTGAATTCACCAGAGATATTCAGAAATTTGTCTAAGAAATGTTTAACTTGCATTTGTATCTGATAGAATACACGACACACAAGATTTGTCTAGGTTGGAAATCACATCATACAGTCACACCTCATCATGTTTCTAGAAAGAAAAAACAAACCCTTGGGAATTTTTAGTGAACAAAGCTGTTAAGCTGTTCACAAAAATATCAATAAAATAATGAAAAGTTTTGCAGCTTTGGAGCTGAGCAATTACCATGGAGAAAAACTTCGTAAAACGGCCGTAACCTACTCTAGTATGTGGATGTAAATAATTTATTATATAGTAAAAAATATTGCACGGTTGTAAATATAAGAAGTAATCTTAAGTAAAAAATGTTTGCACAAATTATTACTTTGAATTTGTTTCTTTAATGGGAAATACAAAGCAAAGAAAATCACCCTCAGTTTTCACGTTTTCACGTTTTCAGTTTTCACGTTTTTTATTGTTTAGGTACTACTTCAAAATAATCTATTACTTCATAATAACTTTGAATTGTCCTCCGAATTTTTTTTAGCTTTTATTGGTAAAAGATTTGATAATGCTGGATTACAAGATTGGATAATTGAAGCTGATATAGCTGATGAGTGATTCTTTATCTCCTTAAATTTTATTGAAATTGTAATACGTAGCAAATATTCCAGCAGATTTTTTTTGACCAAAAAAGGTCGAAGTACTAAAGATGTTTTTTTTATTTTCAAGGTAAAAGTTCATTAGAGTGTATTTTAAAGGGAAAGCAATATAACCGTGCCGTTCGAATATATCAATACCTGTATAATGTAATCCAGCTGAGGATAAAACATTTTAAAAGTTAGTTAGTTGAAAACATTCTTTCCCTTTTGAATCACTTCTCTTCCTCGCCTGAGTTCATTAACTGTTTATAGGAGGTAAACATGTTTGCTTTAAAATGTTTCATGTCTGTGAATTCAATGTTGATAGCAAAATTGAGCTTTTATTATTTCTAGACGAATTATGACAATTTGAAACCCTTGTTTAATGATGATTTCTTCAAAACTTTAGATGATCACTCAAATGTGTTAAAAGATGTTGGTATTTTTGGACCAACTTCCGCTCTTTGGTTTTCCTTAATCGAAATGTTAGACATTTTTTTAGTTTTGCTCCGTTCAACAAAGGTTGGTAACTAGACTATTCATTTGAAGGCAACATGCGAAATGCTACTTTAGTTTTTTGCATATGATGGTCAAAATTATTCTCGCTTCTTAACCGAAAGATGAACCGGACCGAAATGATGCAAGTTTTTAAAAATCATCAGAATATTTATCAACCTATGTAGACAACTCCAAAAATATTTTGTTTAAATTTCAACAAACTTGAAATCCAAACAAAATATCACGCTGACATTTTTTTTTTGATAAAAAAAATATCAGCGTGACGTCATCAATATTAAATATGGGTCCGAATTTGACCCTTTGAGCAAATTCAGAAAGGCACGTAAAATTTCTCTCATTCAAGACATTAGCCTTAAACTATTTAATTAGATCACGTGATGTAGATATAAAAGAACCAAGAAGTTGATTAGAATTGATAATAAAAATGCCAAAAACCTGTTGCGTTTAAAATTGTTCAAACATCAACATAATGTAATGAAATGTAAAGAATTATCTTAATCACTTCTTTACTTTTTTCGACCTTTAAATTTGAATTCTATACTTTCTATTCTATATCTTTTTTTTTGCGTAAATTACCATATTCTATATCTTTTTTTGCGTAAATTTTTATTCTATTCTATACCTTTTTTTGCGTAAATTATCCGCCAAACTGTTGCGTAAATTACCCGCCAAACGCAAATCATAAAGTATAGATATCTTTTATACAGAATTTATGTCGTTTATTTTTATTATTGCTAAATTTAGACATGATTATAAACGTACATACATTATAAACATACAATGGTATTACAAATTATCCATTAAATAATAGTTTTTTAAGGGTTTTTTTAATGTTTACGTTTTCACATTTCATGGATTCTACCATTTCGAATTGGGTTATAACACTACTACTACGTGACAACCTCGACCTAATCAATATGGTTAAAAAACCAGTTAAATTTTATACAAAGTTGGCAATTAAACTAAAATTTAAATTTTTTAACGATAACCACTAAGTTTTTATATTTTCTAAAGTTATATTTTACCATATAACCACCTTAAAGAAACTTTTCTATGGCAATTTTTTTTTTGTTTGAAACCAACGACTGGTATATGACATAAAGTTGTTTAAAACTTTTATCTGGAAATGTTCGAATCAAAAAGTTTAATCATTGGGGCAAAACGTATAAAAAAAGTTAAAGTTTAAATTTTTTGTCGCTTTTTTTAAAAAAAAAACAAAAAAAAACACAGCTGTTTTACTGTTGAACATTGTTCAGAAACCCTAGCCTAGGTATAATGGCATCCATGTGAGTGCATCTGATGTAAAACTAAAACTTAGCAGAAGTGTTGCCTTGAAAGTTTTCGGGGTTCTCGTTTGATTATAAATAGTAAAGACTGTTGGCTTTTTGATTAGTTTAAACTCTTAAATTGGTTTTAGCTATTCAGTCAGTCCCAGAAACCCTAAGAATGTGACTTCCTAAACAGGCCTTAGAGCCAGAGTAGTACTGGGAGCTGTCTTATTTCTTAGAGTCGGAATAGGTTTTAGTTTAGGCGGAAGCTTCGTTTAGTCGATTTTTTTAGTTTTTTAAAGCCTGTCTGGTATTCAACAAAGGAAATAATTTTATCGCGTAGGAGATCACTGAGGTCTTTAAGGTCTTGTGCTTTTAAATGTTTATTCATGAGTACATAAACTTTCAATATTTTATTGCTAACTTAACCATGCCTCAAGGCAAGTTGTGGAGGCTAAGCATAGTAAAGTTTTTTTTCTTCCATTTTTAACAGTTAAACAAAAAGTTTCGCTTTTCATTAAAAATCAATATTACAATTTTATGTTTTATAGAAATTTACTAAAACACAGCTCAAAAACTAAAACTATAGCCAATTAGTTCAAAAGTGTTTAAAACAATGCCTTGAAAAATCATTTATCATTACTTCCACTCATCATCCGTTTTTCTACGGGAACGGGATAGGAAAGGAAAAAATAATCACGCGAGCATGCGTAATAAAAGTTTTTATTTGTCCGAAAGAAAACTGCGCATGCTCGCGTGATTATTTTTCCGTTCCCTTTCCCTTTCCCGTAGAAAAACGGATGAGTGGAAACTCACCTTTATACAAGCACATATAAAGGGATTTACGTCAATATACAAGGAAAATTAATTATTTCTGCGCTTTAATAATAAAGTTGAAAATAAGATAAAAACATATTTATAAAAACAGCATATATTTAGAGAGTAAAAAACTATACATGTAAAAACCATTTATTATTATTTTATTATTTATTAATTTAATTTTCATAAACATTTAATATAAATGTAATAGGTAATTTAAACACTAAGAAGCAAAGCAACGCCTGCTAAAATCCATTTCGCAGGATTCTCTTTGGTTTTTAAATGAAAATTCCAAACGTAAGTCGGTCCACGTTGTCTGGTTTTATAAACTGGACATTCGTAAGAGTTTTTAGTATCTTGTTTGTCAACTGGAATAGCGCGTAAGAAAAGCACAGGCATTTGAGGCGTTAACTCTTTTACCCTAGAATCAGCAATCATTCCAAGTTGAGTATCCCATCTAGCACCTTCCATAAAACATCCATGAACATAAGCACCCTCTCTAGGTGGCGTAGTAAAATCTTCTTTATTTTTTTTAGTAACATCAACTTGCAGAGTCATCCGATCTAGAGGCCATTCATTTTTTCGCGCCATAGATTGCATAACTGCCGTAATAAATGATTGTGGATTAAATAAACCAGAAAGCCATACTACGCTTGGTAGATTAAAATCACCTGTCCAAGTATCCAAATCTTTATTACGGAGTAAAAGATCTATAAACCAAGCACCTAAGCTATACATGCTTGGATAAGCTTTTAAACTCCATGATTTAGGAACTTCATCAAAAAACAACGAGTTAGAAAGTTCTTCCATAGCATTTGTAATTGTAAGCTCACCCTATAATAAAATTAGAAAACTTTTATAACTAATTTCAAAAATAATCATTTTTAAGGTTTATGATTTTATTATCTTCTTACTTTATTTAAAACTTTATAAAAGTTTATAAAAGACTTAATTATGTAATACATAAAAAAAAAACTTTTAAATTAATTTATGTAATTATTTTAATACATGGTTATTTCTATAGAATGCACAATTTCGAAACACAGTGTTTCTAGAGAATGCACTAATCTAAGAATAGCGCCACAAAAAAAGATTAATTTTTTTTATAAGTGAACTTGACAATAATTGATTTTAATTTTAAAAACTAATTTTTTGAATCCGAGTCTCTAATTTTTATATATAGTACAACTTACTTTTAAACCAAGGTCAAGCTCTTTAAGTGAAACTCTAATCTCATTTGTTAAAACATTCATTCTATCAGCTTCTTGTAGTGCAACAACAGTGTATGGAGTCCTTTCTTCAGCTTTAGCCATTAATTCCATCATACCAAAACTCTCGGGAAGTTTTTCTAAAATCTCATCTAGAACCTAAATTATATTTGAAAATAAGTAACCAAAAAATCAATTTTTTTTTAAATTAAAAAAATCCTAAGTAATAATCTTACCTGTTTTACTTTTTCATCGCGCGTTTGTCCTCCCCCTCCCACTCCGCTAGAATCACGTGGTTGCAGTTCCAATATAGTCTTAAATAAATTTTCAGAGGTAGAGGTCAAAAAACCAATTTCAGCATTAGGATGCAGACCATAAAGATTGGGGCTCTCTGGTGGCAATACTTCATTTACATATGAATGATATCCAATGTAATCCATGTTTGTCGGTATAGGAAAATTTGGTGCCAGAAATAAATCTCCATCAATCTAAAATTTTCATTAATTTTTTAATGTTTTTAGATCAAAGTTTTAATGTACAACTTATTCAAAGTGAAAAATAAACACTTATAAAGCTAAAATAGTTACAATAAGAAGTATTACCATTTCGGGCTTCATGTACTCTTCCAGATAAGTACGACACAACCGCCTGTCCCAATCATCAGTGATATGTCCACCATACATAATTTCTCCAAAAAGATAACGTAAATCAGTCCATGGAACCTGAAACATGTTTTCATACTTGTTGCTCATTAAATTTATTCATCATGGAACACATTTTTTTGATATCTTCATCAGAGGTCATTTTTACTTCATGTTTTTAAAACCTGGTCTTCATTATTTCAAATAGAAATAATGAAGACTGCAGTGTTAGAAATAATGAAGACCAGATTTTACGTACAGACCCGGAATTTACGGAGGGGTAACTCCCCCCCCCCCCCCCCCCAAAGAAGGCAATTTTCAAGTTATAGTCGGTTTTTTTACGAATTTAGTCGGCTAGTTGGGTTTTTGACACCATTCAGTCAGGTAAATTTTAGTTTTTACCTTTTTTTTTTTAAGAAGCCAGTCACACTTTTTAAAGAATCACCCCCCCCCCCCCTCATTTTATTCGTAGAATCGCCTCTGATGAAGACTGCAGTGTTAAGAATAATAAAGAATTGTTAAGAAATATATAGGTTTGTTTTTATCTTTAAAGATTTACCGATAGCCATACCATTCTGTAAAATATAAGTTTGTAAAATATATATGCCCAGACTGAATAAAAGATCCACAAATTCATTTACCAGTTAAATCAATGAACTATTCTTCTTCTAAGTTTTTCTCTACCAACACAACACAAATTTTCTCTACCAACACAACACAAAACAAATTTTCTCTACCAACACAACAGAAACAAATTTTCTCTACCAACACAACACAAACAAGTTTTCTCTACCAACACAACACAAACAAATTTTCTCTACCAACACAACACAAACAAATTTCCTCTACCAACACAACACAAACAAATTTTCTCTACCAACACAACACAAACAAATTTTCTCTACCAACACAACACAAACAAATTTTCTCTACCAACACAACATAAACAAATTTTCTCTACCAACACAACACAACACAAATTTTCTCTACCAACACAACAGAAACAAATTTTCTCTACCAACACAACACAACACAAATTTTCTCTACCAACACAACAGAAACAAATTTTCTCTACCAACACAACACAAACAAATTTTCTCTACCAACACAACACAAACAAATTTTTTCTACCAACACAACACAAACAAATTTTCTCTACCAACACAACACAAACAAATTTTCTCTACCAACACAACACAAACAAATTTTCTCTACCAACACAACACAAACAAATTTTCTCTACCAACACAACACAAACAAATTTTCTCTACCAACACAACAGAAACAAATTTTCTCTACCAACACAACATAAACAAATTTTCTCTACCAACACAACACAAACAAATTTTCTCTACCAACACAACACAAACAAATTTTCTTTACCAACACAACACAAACAAATTTTCTCTACCAACACAACACAAACAAATTTTCTCTACCAACACAACACAAACAAATTTTCTCTACCAACACAACACAAACAAATTTTCTCTACCAACACAACACAACACAAATTTTCTCTACCAACACAACACAAACAAATTTTCTCTACCAACACAACACAAACAAATTTTCTCTACCAACACAACACAAACAAATTTTCTCAATGATGTCTTTGTAGATTTATTTTGAACCAAAATTTTTTTAGTTTAATATTTTTTATATTACTCAATTTTGAAATTTTTATAAATTATTATACTGTTAAATTTTTATAAATTGCTTTTACCTTAATTAGGATTAATTACCTTAAATAGGATCATACTTTATAAAATGATTTTTAACTTCATTAAAAAATATTTTTTATATTATATCAACCTATTGGAAAAAAGTGGTTAAAAAAACCTGAAGTTAAAATAACTTCCACTAAAAACTTTTAAATAAAAGCAGTGATATAATTTCAATTTATTTCAGTGTTTATTATTAACCATTATTGCTATGATTGTCAATTGCTTTGTTATCAGGTGAGATTCTCTTGAAAAGTTGAAAGAAATATTAACAATCGAAAATAAAAGCCACACAAGAAAAACCTATCAGAGAACAGTGAGTCTAATAAGAAGAATAAGTGAAGCAGTGGTAAACAAATGAGCATAAATGAAACATCTTCTAAATAGTTGCATAAATGAATCATATTCTGAAAAGTTAGAAGATTTAAACTTGATTTCATTGGAGATGAATTAATACGTAGGACTTTAATATTTACAGCTTTATATAAAATCTTTTTACTATAGAGTTACTATAGAGTTTAGGAACCTTTTTCCAAAAACTAGTTTTAGAGCTGTACCCTTTTGAAGAGATAACAAGAAGATTTGTGTAGACACTTAAAAAAAATACTATCTTTTTTACTATCAAAAATTGGGAGACACTCAAGACCAAGAACTGAGTTAAAAAGATCCTCTATTTATTGTCCTAGGTAGGAAACAATAAAATAAAACTTGTAACATTTAACATATAACCTACCTACTAGATATAGAAGTGGTATAAAGTCGGTTAACAGAAAATATGTTTTTATCTTAAACCTAAAAAAACATTTTTATATAGTTATACATTTGTAAAATGAGCTTACTGGAGATAACTTTTAACATGAATTGAATAATAATGGGAAAGTCGAAAAAATTTTGTCACAAAAAAAGCATAATAGTATGTGGTGTAGAAAAATTAATAGTATATGCTTGAGAGAAGAAAATTTCTTTATGATGTGGTTTAAGTTTTGAGCTAAATTTATGGTGTTAAGTAAAGATACTAAAACCTGCATCATTTAGCCTTAATGAAATTTGATTCAACATCAAAATATCATTTGCATTTGAATTCAAAACTATGTTCAAAAGTCTTATTCAGTGATGACTCAGCTTTGGATGTTTGGTAGCAATGATATCAAGTATATGAGATGTCTGAAAGATGAAAGAATTGCTACTAAATATTTAATACCAACAGTTAAACATGGTAATGGCAAAGTAATAGTTTCTTTCAGTTGCGATTCTCTTGGTCCACTTTATCACATCAATAGCATCATGGATCAGAATTAGATATAATGAATCATATTTAGAATGGATCATATTTAGATATAACCAAGAATAAAATACAAAAAACATTACAAAACAATTAAATTGATTATTCATTGCTTGGTTACTGTCCTTAATTTCCCAATGGATGGAAGGGGCTAAGTAAAAGAGTTGGGATTACCCATATAAAATTCTTAGATCTGCCCCTGAAGATCAATTTAACTTTCTGTTACAATTGAGTCTATTGCAAAGTATACATTTTCAAATTTAAGATAGCAATCCATTATTTATAATATATGCAGTTGATACCTGAAAAGATTGAATTACAGATCATATAGATTGTATGAACTCTTAGAATTACATTGAAAAAATGTCCACAAATAGTTAGTTTCTAACTATGGAAAATGCAAATAATAGAGATTGATGGATATTATAGAGCTACTGAGCATTTTTCAACTTAAAGATCTTTGTATTAGTGCCTATAAAAAGATTACAAGCTGCCTAGTAAATTTTAATTTTTGATTCATAGGTTCTTATTTCATTACTATAATTTATTCAGTACAGATATATGCTAAATGTCACTGTACAGAACATGATAAATATAATTTACTCAGCACAGTAATATGTTGAATATCACTGTACAAAGCATGGTAAATATAACTTATTCAGCACAGTAATATGTTAATTATCACTGTGCAGAGAATGTGGAATATAGTTTACTCAACACAGTAATATGTTAAATATCCCTGTACTAAGCATGTTAAATTTATGTATGCAGTGTGTTACTAGCCCAATATTAATAAGTAGCAACAGATTTTTCAGTAACTAGTTTTAATGAATCAATTCTTAATTTAATTATTAAATTTTTCTGAATTGCAATAAAATTATATTTGATCATACCTTTGCATTAGCTTCCAAGTAATTATATAAAACATAAACACTTATTGTTAAGTCTCCTGTGTTAAAAGGATAACTACGATTCCATCCTTGTGGACCAAACTTACGACGCTCAGCAACCACAGCATGAAAATAGCAAAGTGAAAACAAAATGCTTTTGAACTCATTTTCTCTTGCACACATTTCAAGAGTTTCCTGTTAATATATTTTTAACTTCTGACAAGAATGCATAAATGTATTTAACAAATAAAAAGTATGATGCTATAACAAAATCTTTACCTGATTGAAATTGTCAAGTGCTTTGTGTACATTTGCCATCATACCAGTTGGTGGTTCATTTGTAATTTTGATTGATACTTCTAAAATACCTTGAGGTATACAATGACTATCCCGAGTAGGAGCAGGCTCTGCTGACATAAACAAACGATAATGTGGATGACTTCCAATGCTGTACAACTCAATCTTTTTTTCAAGAGTTGGAAGCCATTTTTTAACCAAATGAATATTCTGCATCAAAGCAAAAAAACATAAATAAGTGGTAAAATGAAAACCAAAAAATTGTTGTATACAATAAAAACATTCAATTTAAAAAAAGCATTTGAAAAAAATTCTAGCTATTAACTATACAAAAAAATTTGTTTACTTGCAATACAACCCAATGACCTTCTTTAGAAGCAAGATCTAATGCTTTCTCTGCAACTATTTCTTGACCTTGTCCTAATGAAACACTGTGTAAATTCTTATTGTCAGAAGAAAAACCCATTTTTTTCCCAAGAAATTCAACATCTTTCAGAGGATCAACACCAGGAGATAGAATAAAAAATATAGGTGTTGCAGGACCACTTTCTTCATAAGATACTGACAACTCCACTTGACGATCTTCAACATATTTGGAGCCAAGTTTTTCTTCAACAAATAATCTAAAGAAAAAAGTACATCAATCAGATCTCAATTGTAAATTAAAATGAATCTGAATGAAAAAGATACACACTTAATTGCATAAGTCATTCGATCAGGTCTGAAAGCTCTCATCATGCACAACTTCTGCAAAGAAGTTTTATTTTTCCATTCTTGAGGAAATTTTTCCTTTTCAGGACATTCACATTCTATAAATTTTTTCCATCGCTTAGCTGAACCTTCAATGTCATGATCAAGATTGCGAAAATCCTCCATTGCACTTAGTGCCTAAAAAACATTAGAGAAATAATGCAATACAAAATGAAACAGTAAAAAAAAGTTAATGTAATAAAAAAACAAAAACAAAAACCAAAAAAACTAGCAATAAAAAACAAATAAAGTAGTTACTTTCACTCCACCCCAACTGCTATTTGATAAAAAATCAACAGGACTTGTTATATTTATAACAATAGGAAATCTTAACAAAAAGTTTAGCTCTTCAGGAACAATTTCTTTACTCATTAGCAAAATTTGAAATGCAACTTGTGCCATAAAAATTAACTTATCTTTTTCAAACAAGCCCCTTGTTGTATACACAAAAACTGTATAAGTAATGCAGTCAATAAGATTGTTGACACGAATTTTAACATTTTCATCTTTGGCTGATTTCTCAATAGCTTTTTCAAAAACTACACTGAAAGCCTGGATGAAGTTAAAACTTTTTAGTTAAATTAAAAACTTTCAAATTTAATTTACAGGAAACAGAGTTACCATTATTTTTAAAGTTGAAACTATAATAATTATTAATTTACCTTTAAAGAAAATTGATAAATTAAGTTAATTTTGTTTAAATCATTAAGAATAAAATATAACAGTGAAGATCGAGCTGCGGCTGAACGGTACATCTCACGCGCTTCGTTAATTTTTATTTCTGTCACTTTAGCTTCTTTAGATTTCTCTTCAATATCTGCAGCAGTCCGTTTAGTAGTCTCTAAGTTTTCTACTAACTCATAATCACCTAAAAAATTTCCTGCAGCAGATGATAATCGAGCTAAAAGAGAATCTTCCAACTCCTTGAGAATTATTGTGAAACGATTCTGTTGTTGAGTAAGTTGTGACTAAAAAATGCAAATAAAACTATAAGACAAAACAATTTAAAAAATGCAAATGAAATTATAAAACAATTTAAAAAATGCAAATGAAATTGTGAAAGACACAAAAAAATTAAAAAAAATATATTTTAATTATTTTTAAAATTTAAAAATTAAAGTGAAATATAATTTCAAGTTACCTTTGACTCTTCAAGATCTGGTCTTTCTTTTGCAACAACATTAGCAAGCAACTGGTCCTCTAAACCCTCTTTGGTGACTGTAAAATTAATTAGTGTAGTCTGAGCCTGCATTTCAGGTTTGTAATGTGGATTAGCGAGTTTTGTCATTAAAATCAAGCGAAAGTTTGGATTGTATTCAATTTCTTTGTCTCCAAGTTTGATGTATCTTGAATTAATTCAAGAAAGATAATTGAAATACCAAACTATTATTTTCCAACTGTAATAATAAGTTTCACAAACAACCTACCTTCCTTTCTTGATAGTGTTTCTTCCTAGTATAGGGTCTAAAACTGGATCAAGTGACTCTCCTATACTCTCTATTAACACACAATCTCCATTGCTAACACCTGATTCAATAATATCAAGATATCCTTTCTGTCCTAATCTAACTACCTTCAAATCTTGCTCACGAGTTTTGATCCATTTAATGCCTGAGAAAATAAAACTTTTAAAACACTTTTACCTTAAAAGCTTAATGTTCCTAATTAAAAAAAAATTACGATCATGATGATGATCATAATTGTCATAAGATAATGATCACCATCATCATGGTGATCATTATGCTTATCATCGTGTCCATGATCATAATCGTCATCACCATCAAATCATGATCATCAATATCATCATCATTATCACAATCCTATTAAAACTTTTAAATTAACTGACACAAGTTGCTTATAATTTGTTTAATACTTTAGCTATTAAAAAAACTGTACAAATAAATGAAAAAAATTTGAAATAAATATAAGTATTTAAAATATAATTATAATACTAAAAGAATAAAAAAAAAATAATAATAAAGTATCCAAATAAACCTTGAAGTTGTGGATCAATCATTAAGGGCCATCGTTCAGCATTAAGCAAAATCGTTGCATTTTCAGTAGACATACGATCACTTGGCAAGTTATCATTATTCCATTGTGCAATCATAGCATTATCAGTAAGCAGAGTAAGTGGATCAAGGTCATTTGTTATTGGAATAGGAACCTGTAAACAATACAACAAAAATTAATAAATATCTTTTTTTTTTATTATTATAATAAAGTTTCACAATTTTCACCTTTTGTTCTCTCAAAAAAGTTAACCATTTACTACTCAGATCTTCTCTATAAACCTTTGAAAAACTGCCAACATATGATATAAATGCAGATATAAGCAAAACATCACCAGGTAATGTCATAGCTTGCTTTTTAAATTTTAAAACTGATTCAGCCCATCGAATATTCTCAGAAGCCAATCCACCAACTAATCGATTTGCAAGTTCAATAGTTTTTGAAGTTCGTTCTGCTTCTTTTTGACAACGAAGCTTAGCACTAGTTGCTTGTTCAAATGAAGCTGTCAGTTCAGCCAAATTTGCATCCAACTCCTAAAATAAAATTTAATTAATTAACAATGGTATAAAAGTATTAATTCACTTGATAAAGAACCATCTGAGAATACCTTGATCTTTGCCTTAATTTTAGACAACTTTTCTTCAGCAACTGCTAAATCAGAATTTGCTTGGGCCAAAGCTTTTCTTTTTGGTTCAACATCACAAAAAACACGATAAAAAGTAACAATGTTAACAACCCATGCACATAAACCAGCAGCTGCACCTGACTTTGCACGAATAAAGTCAGCATTGAACTGCGGATCATCAAGATATGGTTGAACAGCCTTTAAACAATTTTCATGAATATTTTCTTTATTATAATTAATAAGTTGATCCAAGAATTGATCTACTTTTCCCATCATCACTTTTGCAGCTTTCCAACTTCTGTCTTTTGGTACCTTACCATCTGGGGCAAGTAAAACCATGACTGCAGAAGTTACACTTACAACTGCTGGTGGAGGAGTACCAAATGATTTTAACTCAGTCAAGTTATTTTTGTTTAAAGTATTCAAAGCCTCTTGTGCTGCAGCTAAAGCAGGTTCAGCTTTGGCTAAATCTGTTTCACAGGACACTTGTTTTATTCCTACTTCTTTTGCAAATACTGCAACTTTCTTTTCTTCATCATCAGCAAATGCTTTTTCTTTGCTAACCTTCTCTGTTTCAATCCCTACCCGCTTAATCAAAGCATCTGCATCTTCATTCTTTTGTGCTAACTCAATTTCCTGAGATGCTAGTTTTGATTTTAAATCATCAACTTGTTGAGCAGTACTCTGAAGCTTTGTCAAGCCATTTTCTAAACGCTCCATGTTTTGCAAGAGGTCTCTACTCTTTCTTTTTATTAAATTTTTGTACAAAGAAATCTGCTCAAGAAAGCTTTTAGGTGTTGTATAGTTATACCGTCTTTCATTGACTAAATAGGTCTGACTCATCAAATTAACACTGGTATGAGTATAAGCAAGAAACTCAGCAACAGATTGCTTTTGTTCGGGCTAAACAATATTGCAATGATTAATCATAAAATGATCGAAAATTATTTTCTATATGAAATATGAAATGTGAAAATTCACCAAAAAAAATAACCTGTAAAAACATTTGAGTGCATAAAGAATCTGTAAAAAAAAAAAGTTAGGTAAAAAAATACCAAAACTTGCTCTGTTTCATCTAAGAATCTCTTGCTAACAGAGACTAAAGCTTCTTCTGGCCACTCATGAAACCAGTTTATGGATGTACAATTTGTGAGAGCAGGAAACTTTCTGCTTCTAATACGAAGTGTATTACCAACTGGGGAAAAACACAAGACCACTTTTAGCTGGCGGCGAACACGACTGACAAAAAACTTCCAGCAGTTTTCACGCGTATCTTGAATACCAGCCCCTAAAGATAAGGTCGATATATATATATATATATATATATATATATATATATATATATATATATATATATATATATATATATATATATATATATATATATATATATATATATATATATATATATATATATATACATATATATATATATATATATATATATATATATATATATATATTTATATTTATATATATATATATATATATATATATATATATATATATATATATATATATATATATATATATATATATATATATATATATGCATATATACACTACTGTCCATAATTATAATTATAATTAAAATGGTCATACTTTTCAAAGTTTTACTATTGGGAGAAAAACTGAAAGCAAAAAAGACTATAAAAATCAGCTATTTTACTATTAAGTTTGCCTAAAAAAAAATCAAATTAAATTACTTTATAATTTAGTCTCATCCATGTAACCTTAATCACGCTCGACGGCAATAACCGCTTTACATATTCTTGGCATTCTACATAACAAATTCAATTTTAGAAGCCAATTTTATTCTACTCACTATTAAGTTGTATCCACATATCATTTGCACCAATAGACATTTGTTCTTTACATTTCATTTAAGTTCATCATTTTAGTTCATTCAATAAAAGTTTGATAGAGAGAGAGACCTAGTGATTGGGGAGATCAAATCATTCTATTCAATACTTGATCATTCTCTACCTCACATTAGAAACTCCTAAAAAGTTTTAAAAAATGCTTTGGATCATTATCTTCTTAAAAAATAAATGACTTCCCAATATTTGACTTTCTAATGGTATGGCATGACTTTTTAAAATGTCCAAATGCACTTCTTTCGTCATTTTTCCCTCTATTTTTACAATGTCACAAGTAGTATTTCGTCCAAAACAACTCAAACCATAGCACTACCCCCACCATGTTTCACAGTTGGCAGCACACATTGTTTTCTCATCCGTTCACCAACATTTCTTTGGACAAACAATCTTTTTTTGAAACCAAAGATTTGAAACTTCAACTTGTCGGTTCAAAGAATATATTTCCAGTCATTAATGGTCCATTTTTGTGTAGCTTTGCCCACTCCTGTCTTTTTTATTTATATTGGGGACAAAGGAAAGGTTTCCTCACAGCTATTCTGCCACCAAGCCCTGCTTTTTCAATTGCCTCTTCACTGTTGTAACAGATACTGGAGCTACTTAGGAGCAGTTCAAAGTATAGGTTAATTCCAATAATAATCTATTTTGTTTACTAGTAATCATAATTCTTCTTTCTTTTGGTTAAATTCAACAACGTATGACCCATAGAATAATTTTTTAAACACAATATGAATATTGTAGATCGTTTTTCTACAGTCAACTCTTGTGTCCTGGCCATTTATCATACATTAATATTTACAATTTATATAAATTGTTAAACTATTAGTGTGAGCCTATCAAAATTCACTCCAGCAAAATTATGGTATAAATAAATCTCTTGAAATAAAATATACAGTAATAGTTAAATGTTTATGCTTACATTAATCTTCACAAAAACATCAGACATTTGCATGATTTATGAACAATTAACGTAAATATCGGACTTGATAATTGCATGACTAACAAAACAGTACACTTATGTAAATAAACTCTAAATCCTACTTTAACCAATTTGTGTTACCTAAATTATCTAATAATGCAAAAATAAAAAAATAAAAAGCATTTTTTTTTTGTCATTTAAATAATTGTGAATGGTAGTGTAAATACATATACTCCTATTCCTACTTTAAGGGGACATGCACAAAAATTCTACTATCAGGCAACATTACTGCTTTTTCAACAACTTTTTTTTTTTTTGCGCTATAATGACTTCACTCATCTTAATTTACTCCTTTGTGCATATTCTATTGAAATTAAAACTCCTCTGAAAATTAATCACACCTTTCTGAAAAGATATGAAAAAATTGTGTTTCCACACATATATAGTACATATACTATCAGGCAACATTACTGCTTTTTCAACAAATTTTTTTTTTCTTTGCACTATAATGACTTCACTCATCTTAAATTACTCCTTTGAGCATATTCTATTGAAATTAAAACTCCTCTGAAAATTAATCACACCTTTCTGAAAAGATATGAAAAAATTGTGTTTCCACACATATATAGTACATATACTATCAGGCAACATTACTGCTTTTTCAACAAATTTTTTTTTTTTTGCGCTATAATGACTTCACTCATCTTAAATTACTCCTTTGAGCATATTCTATTGAAATTAAAACTCCTCTGAAAATTAATCACAACTTTCTGAAAAGATATAAAAAAATTGTGTTTCCACACATATATAGTACATATATTTTAAGATAACTTTATATATTCTTTTTTGCTTCATTATTCTTCATTTTTGTAGGATTAAAATCAAAGGTTTATAATTTAAAGTGTAAACAATATATAAAGACAGTGCTAACTTAAACGAGCAACAGGAAATGTGTGTGTATGTATATTTTTGTAAATTCTATTACTGAATTTTTTGATGATTGTACAGAAGGGAAAACTCATAGTAGGTTATTAAAACTAGACATGTTTTTTTTAAAAACTAATTTAATAACTCTCTGTTCTTTAAGAACATTAAGCATTAATTTTGTAGAATACACAAACGCAACTTACACACACACACATATAAATACACAAATATCTCTGTATTGTAAGCCATGCCTAAGACATTGATGATATCATATTGAAATAGCCATCAGTAGGGGCTACAGTACATACATTGAGTGAGGGTTTGGGTATAAATAAGTATCAGTACATATCTTGGCTGAGGGTTTGGGTTAAGATTATCAGTACATATAGTAAAAGAGGCTTAAGGGTAGGATAGGTGCTATCTAAATATAAAGAATTTATATCACAACAATAAAGACTTGTTTTCTTCTTTTTTTGAAAAAAAAATTCATTTATTATGTTTAAAATGATGTCAATTTTTTAAAAATGATAGTATACAAAATACCGGTTGAACACAATGTATTTCAGCAACCTTGAATTGCTAGTTACTCAAAAAATATTGGTTAAACACGATGTATTTCAGCAACCATTAATTGCTAGTTACTCAGAAAATATTGGTTAAACACGATGTATTTCAGCAACCTTTAATTGCTAGTTACTCAAAAAATATTGGTTGAACACAATGTATTTCAGCAACCTTTAATTGTTAGTTACTCAAAAAATAATGGTTAAACATGTATTTCAGCACCCTTTAATTGCTAGTTACTCAAAAAATATTGGTTGAACACGATTTATTTCAGCAACCTTTAATTGCTAGTTACTCAAAAAATATTGGTTAAACACAATGTATTTCAGCAACCTTTAATTGTTAGTTACTCAAAAAATACTGGTTAAACACAATGAATTTCAGCAACCTTTAATTGTTGGTTACTCAAAAAATACTGGTTAAACACAATGTATTTCAGCAACCTTTAATTGTTGGTTACTCAAAAAATACTGGTTAAACACAATGTATTTCAACAACCTTTAATTGTTAGTTACTCAAAAAATATTGGTTAAACATGATGTATTTTAGCAACCTTTAATTGCTAGTTACTCAAAAAATACTGGTTAAACACAATGTATTTCAGCACCCTTAAATTGCTAGTTACTCAAAAAATATTGGTTGAACACAATGTATTTCAGCAACCTTTAATTGCTAGTTACTCAAAAAACTACTTAACAAATCTTATAAATTTTTTTGCACACAGAAGCACATATGTTGCTGTTTGATTGTAATGGTAATGAGTATTGATATTTTTTTTATCAAAGTAAACAAATATTTTTTCTTTTTTTTTTTTTTATCAAAGTAAACAAATATTTTTTTTTTATCAAAGTAAACAAATATTAAATTGAAATTTTTTTTTCAAAATCCTTTATTGTTGCAAGTTTTAAAATTAACCATATGTTTCTTAATCTAAATTTGAATTTATTTTGCGTTGATATAAACAGACTTTATCTATTGAAAAAAAAGTTAGAAGTAGAAAAAAGAAAGGGTTTAAAAATAAATATTAAGTAAAATCTATTTTTTGCTGTATAAAGGCAAATCCATGTAAGTCACAAAAAGATCTAGGCAAAATATTTGAATGCAACAAACCTTTGATTGGAAAAGTGCTAAAATCTTAATAATATAAAAACGTACCATAAAAAGAAAACTCCAAAGCATAATAGATACACAATATTTTGGTTACAACCCACTACTACAAAAAGTATCTAGAATGGTTTGAACAAAATAGCGTCAAAAAAAATCCTCTAAATTGTGCTGAAAAGTGAGTTATTGAAAATTATTGGTCACTTATAAAAGGAGTTTTATCAAAAAGCAAGGAATTAGCTTCAGATAACAGAGGTTAAAAAAAAGTGATAGCAGCTTCAAAAAAAGTAACTCAAACCAAGATCTGACAGATGATGTCAAATACTCAAAAAAAATTTGGTTTCTATATAAGCATCTAATAAAAAATGTAAAAATTTATTGAAGTAAATAATTCAATTAGCATCATTATGTCAAAAAATGTAGTTGAACAACAATCCACGTGAGATTGAGTATTGATTGATGGAAAAATTAAGAATAGCTCGCAACTATATTTATTCTTTCGTTTAATAATTCTAAAATTAAAATAAAAGGTTTTGTAACTTCAAAAACTTTCCCAAGAATCTAGCAAATTTAAAGCAAACTTATGGAGAAGAACAAGAAAGCAAGACTATATTTAAACTCTATGTTAAGAGCAATAGCACTAGAACAACCAATTCTTTCTGTTATAGCAGTTAACAAGATTGAAATGTAATTGTTATCGAATTGACAAGATGAGATATTAGAAGTATTTAATTAAAAACAAATACTTTATAATAATAGTACAAAGTCTGATAAGACAATAGTTAGAAGGATCAGAACAATCTCCAGAGTTTTTAAAAATTGGAACCACAGATGCAATTTTTTAACAGGTTAGATTACTACCCTCTTATAGTTATACAAGAGGTTATACCACCCTCTCATATCAGTAGTTATACCACCTTCTCATCTCATATCAAGTAGTTATACCACCCTCTCATCTCATATCAAGTAGTTATACCACCCTCTCAAATAGCTCAAGGATTTATACCACCCTCTCAAATAACTCAAGTAGTTACATTACCCTCTTGTATAATTTGATAGTGTTACTTAAACAGTAATCAAATGAAATTGAATATTTAATTGAATAAAAAGTCATTCCAAATGCATAAATATAAATGCCAAATATTTCCAGCTTTTTTTGAAAAAAAAATTAATTGAAAAGTATTTGTTTTTTTTATTTTTTTATGAAATGAATATGTTTTATAAACCCCCTTTTTTTTTTCTTTGCTTTTTTTTGTTTTTTTTCTTTGCTTTTTTTCTCTTTTTATTTTTTTGCATAAATTATATACTTTTACTATTTTTTTTAATTTTAACTTCCTTATAAAAATCTTAAGTTTTAAAAAGTTAATTTTGAATTTTGAATTTTAAATTAAGTTAATTTAATTTGTCATTGCGTTTTTTTTTTAATATTTTTATGTGTTATCTTTTATATCTCTTTTATAACAAACTCAAATTTATTGAAATTTTTTAATAATAATTTATTGTTAACTAAGAGAGTAATTTAAATAAAAAAAAATAAATTAAAAAATAATTAAGAATAAAAACACCAATTGAAAACTAAGAATTTAAGGTAGTTTTTAATATACAATTCTTCTCTAATAAATGTGCAAAATTAAGTTTAATTGTGTATGCTGGTAATCCTGTCCAATAATAACAAACATGTTCTTAAAAGTTTAAAGTCATAGATCAAAGTTACTTATGTACTAGCGTATGTTCTCGTGGTCAAGATCAAATTAACTTACTTATTTACTGGCATGTGTCCTCGTAGTCAAGGTCAAATTAACTTACTTATCTACTAGCATATGTCCTTGTGGTCAAGATCAATTTAACTTACTAGCATATGCACTATAAGTTTCTTATAAACTGAATCTTTAAGATAAAAATTTCTCACATTCTCTATTTTAAACAAAAACTTTACCTTTTACTTCATTTCTAATAGCATTAATAATATTCTCAACTTCTTCATCAGCGTATAGTCCAGGAATTTCACCAGAAGCTAATAAGTCATTAATAAGAACAAGGAAGTTTTCTTCTGGAACTTGAGCATCAGTCAATATAAAAACTGTTCCAATATTTTTCACACCTGACTTGTAGCACAAAATTCCAAGATCAACCTTTAAAGAAATATATAAAACATGAACTTTTTTTTTTCAATTATTTTTTGAGATTATTTAAAATTGTCTTAATTTAAAAAAAAAGTAAATTAAATGTTTTATTTTGCACCTTTAAATCTGCTATGCTGTAACCTTTTCTCAATGTTATCTGAAATACTTCTAATGCGCTAATGTATGCAGCTAATCGTGCCAAACTTTGCTTACCACTGCCCCCAACACCAACTAAAAGAGCATTGCCACGAGGTGATTCTAGAATTCGATTGATCCTACATCTATATGAATTTATAAGATAATGTATTACAAATATAAAAACAATCTTAAAAAAAATATAATTAAACAATTAAATAAATATGCTTAAGATTCACATCAAAATAAGATAAAATAAATTCTCATGTCTTTTATATAAGATTAGATATAATAAATTTTTATGTCTTTTATATAAAATAAGATATAACAAATTCTTATGTCTTTTATATAGATAAGATATAATAATTTCTTATGCCTTTTATATAAAATAAGATATAATAAATTATTTTATATAAAGTATTTTATTTATAATTGAGAAAAACTTAACCTTTTCAAAATGTTAATTTGATTATTATTTATAAACTAAATAATAACTTCAGTATTTAAGGTTTAAATGGTGAGTGGTACATCATTAAATGGTGAGTTGTACATCATTAAATGGTGAGTGGTAGATCATTAAATGATGAGTAGTACATCATTAAATGGTGAGTGGTACATCATTAAATGGTGAGTGGTAGATCATTAAATGATGAGTAGTAGTACATCATTAAATGGTGAGTGGTACATCATTAAATGGTGAGTGGTACATCATTAAATGGTGAGCAGTACATCATTAAATGAGTGGTACATCATTAAATGGTGAGTGGTAGATCATTAAATGTTATATAATTAAAACTATAAATCATCAACTTTTAATCTGAAAAAAAAAAACTAAGTGTAAAATGTTTTTTTGACCTTTTTTCATTACAGTTAAGAACCAAGTGTTTTCTTGTAGGATATTATTAATATAATAAACATATTATTGTTGATAATAACCTAAATTATTGTTGAAAAATTAATATTTGTTGATATCAAACACATAAGTGAATTATTGATAAAACCACTTACGTATTTTATATCAATATAAAAATTATTATTCCGATAATAACAACAACAAACAACAACAACAACAAAAATTATATTCCAAAAATAATAACTTACATATGAGACATAGCATCTTCAAATAATACTAAATTCATAACAGCATTAACTTCATTGTGACTATCAAGGGCATCAACTAACAATTTTGAAAGAGCACCCCAACTAGAAACAGAATTATACTTTGGGTCACCAATACCTTTAGCAAAATGTGAATACAATAATGGCTTTTCATTCAATGCTACTGTGTCCAAATCCTAAACCATGTTTTTCAAAATTATTTTCAAATAATTTTCACATTATAAATCGCTTTAGTTAGAAAAAAACTACAAAACATTTACATCAAACATTTTCATATTAAAATCAGCTTGAATTTTATCAAATAAATCTGTATCACTATTATCCAAAAATTTATCACGGTATACACGATTACATTCATGGTTCCATAGACGAACTAAATCTACTGGAGCTTTTACACTATCTTTTGTTGAAAACAGTAAACCCTATAAAAAAAAAGTAAACTAAATTTTTTTAAATAAATATCTACTAATTTGATAATTATTAGTAAAACTTTTGATGGGTTTTGAAAATGTCAACTTTAATCTAGACAATTTTTTTTTTTTTTTCTTTTGTAATAGTAAATGTACTGAAGCCCCCAAAAAGCTAAAAAAGTACCAATCTGCCATTTCTATCTATAAACATTTTATTGAATTAAGAAAAAGACTTGGTCAAACTAAAACTATTTTTAAAATAAAAATAAAAAACTAACTGATTAAAATAATATTGCTAAAATCTTTTCCCTTTAATGAGGACACTGAACCTATTTCAGTTTGGCAACTTATAGCTTATTTTAATAACATAAATGACAAATTATTTTAATAATGCAGCAGCTATATTAAGATAATGACACTATTTGCAACAATGAAACCACTATCTGAAATTAACTAAAATTAGTTAAATTAAATTAAAAAAATAGAATTATAGAAAAATTTTATTATGGACATAATAACAACATAACAATAACAACAAAATAAACAAAATACTATAACTAATAAAATAATAAAAACAATAATAACCAACAACAGCAAAAATAAAAACAACAACAAAAACATGAAAAATGATAGAAATAAAATAAACGCATAATGTAAAATAATGAAATCATTTTACCTGAAATATATTGGATAAATCACGAAGATTAAACACGTAGTGAAATTTAAAGGCAGTAGGAAGAAAAGACATTGTTATCTGCATATAACAATCAAATATTATAATTCATTTGTTATATAAAAATAAAAATGAATAAAAAATTCAGAGATTCATAAAAGGTTTCCTGTAAAATATATGCACATAATATTTGAACTTAAATTATGATTCAAATAAATGTTTAGAAAGTGTAAAATATCTAACCTTAGTATTGAGCACAATTGCAGCATCTATAACCCTATCAGCAATCTTTTGTATTGCAGAGCTAAATCCAAACATTGTTAAATGACCACTAAGAATGTTTGAATAAATTGACTTTAAAGCATCAGAACTCGGAAAACTTATTGCAAAAACACAGAAGTGACGCTAAAGATAAAAAAGTATAATTTCTTGTTACATAATTTGTATAGTCACTTATCAAAAAGAATACAATATTAGTAGAGTAAAAACGTTACAATGTTAGTAGAGTACAATATTATCAAAACATTTCTAAACCTGAAGTCTAGAATTGATTGTAAAACTTCCTGCAGTTGGATTCATGCATGCCACATATTGACAATTGTGTACTTCTTTCAATGTTAACTTCTGTCTGTCATACCAATGATTGTAATCAAGATGTTGTCTTATAAGTGTATGTGGTTGTACTGTGCCATAAGTATCAACCTAATTAAAAACAACCAGTAAATAAATTTATTTATATTTTAGTTTATGACCTTAAGCATATGAAAAAAAAGTTGTTTTTTTTTACTTTAAAGACAATCTAACTAGTAAAATAAGAGTAACAAGATAAAATTGTCTCAAACTTTAACAACAACAAAAAAGTATATAGAGCATGTTATAATTTATATTTCCATAAAAGACCAAAAGCAACTATAACAATTAAAAAAACTAAAAATACCTTAGGCATATTCATATCATCAATAAAATAAACTAATCGCTTTGCACCAGGCGGTCCATAATTCCTGCCAGCTTTCTTTTCTAATGGCTTTTCTAAAATCTGTTGTAACATGGCAGAAGTTGTATAAAAATTAAATGGGACATTTGCAACTATCATTTTGTCTGGATCAAGCGAAGCAAACTTTTCACCAACAAGTACAGTTTTTCCACAACCTGCATTTCCTATCAACATAATAGGTCGTTTAGCTTCCATTAACAAATCCATAAAATATCGAATTCTTATTGTTTCAGAGGTATGAACAAGAACAGCCTATTTGTGCAATCATATTATATATATATATATATATATATATATATATATATATATATATATATATATATATATATATATATATATATATATATATATATATAGTACAATTTTTTTTTTTATTAAATTTAAAAGATATATACATTTCTTGTTTATTAAATTCAGATCAAAAACTAATAAACAAAAAATTAAAATGAATAAATAATAATTGCGAAATTCATTTCTATAAATAGAATTTATAATATAGTAAAAAATACCTGTAAAGGCATTTCAGGATCAAATTCAAACTGTGGGACTTTATCTGCCCAAGTAACAAATCTACGATTAACCACATCAATACAGTAGTCAAAAACTGTTCCTGATGAAGGAAACTTGACCCCTTTAAATTCTGAAACCCACCATTTTGAAAACTCAGCTCTGTAGTCTATTAACTAAACAATTTTAAATTCAAAATATTTTGGATTTTTATATGAAAAGAAAGAAAAAGTATTAAATAAGTTAAAATAAAATGCTCAATACAAAATTCAAAAACATTTAACATTTTTATAGAGAAAAATCAAAAAAGTATTTTCAAGCATTTATAAGTATAAACTACATTAAATTAAACTTTAAATTAAATTTTTTACGCTGATCAAGAAACTTTTTACACTGACCAAGAATCTTTTTTCAAAATTAAATTTGCTATTTAGGAAAAAAAGTTATGAGTTAAAAACGGAAACAGAGTGTTGTGAGATTAAATGAAATATGCTAATAAATAATTAAATACAAAGCAATAACTTATTTCTTAAAAGGGGCTTTTTTTTTATTAGATCTCAAGTGACCATTAAATCTCTAACTATAAATTTTTTGTATAAATTTCAATGAACAAATTTTTCTAACTGAATTTAAATGACTTTTACTTACTGCTTTTATAAAATGGTTCTAATAAATGAATGAAATACGCTAGTTACTCTCTTGTTAATCACATTCACCTTGTCTGGTGAATGCAATCAAACAACCTTCAATACTCCAGTAACTCCAGCTATTTAAAAGGAAATTCAACAAGATGTTGCAAAACAACTGCAATCAGCTCAATCACTTGCAGCAGCTTTGCAACAAATATTTTGTATCCAACACGTTGACACAAAAACAGAAAAAATGTAGATGTGCCAAGATTCGAAGAGGAGGGTCTCAACAAACCTGAAATACTTGAAAGGTTGAAAGATGCTGAGAGCAAAAAAGCAGCAAAGCAAGCTAAAAAACATTGTAAGTTTAGCTCTAATTGAGAACAGCAAATAAACCAAGCAACAAGTTCAGCAAAAATATTAGCTGCAAACCAATTCAAGTGTAAAAAGTACCGAAAAGTTTTGGGCGAAACTTCAGCAAGTCAAAATATGGAAGTGTGAAAATTCAAATTGCAAGGTTTGGCTATGTCAAACATGCATACCAAAGCAATGCGTTAAAGGCGCTGAGTTTTATTGCACCAAAAAGTGCAACACAAGTGAAAACTCAACCTCTAGTTCCTCTAAACGACTCAACATCATCACAAGAATAATGATTTTTTTAATTGTTATTATTGATTGTTTTTCCAATTGTTATTACTGATTGCTTCTTCTTTTTTTTTTTAATAAAGTGTTGTTTTAATTACACTTATATTTGCATATTTCATTCTCCCCAAATGTCAGTATAGAATGGAATAAATTTTTTTTTTAATCAAATAAAATTTCATAAAAAACTTTACAAAAAAATTGTAAGATTTTTATATATTTAAATACAGATCAATATTCTCTACAACTTTAAAAAAAAAAAAAAGGAAAAATCTTTTTTCCATAAAATAAAAAAATATTATCACAATATTGTATGAATACTTTTAAGTTACTACTAATTTTTGTATTATACAGTTATTACTTAAAGCAAAAAGTAATACCTGATCTTGGAACATACTTCCACCAAAAGCCCATATTGAAGCAAATACAAAGTATAGTTCATAAAGTTCTTTACTAGAATCAGGAGGTGTATTCTCTGGAGTAAAAAGAACTTCAAGCAGATAACAAAGCATTTGAACCATACTTATATCTACAATTGGAGTGATTTTCTTAAATTTTGTTCTTACAGCATCTAAGAGCACTGGCACATATTTATCAAACAAAATATGAAGATTTGCTTTTTCTGATTGAACCTCTCGTTTATCAATCCAACTTTGAACATAACTATCAATATAAAATTTTATTGTCAGAAATTAAAAACTCATAAATATTATCAAATTATAAATATTATCTTATATAATTAGTTTGAAAAAACAATTCTTACGGATTCCATCCAACATCTGCATAATTTAAAAACAGTATTCCAGCACGAGAAACTGTAGCAGGAGTTGCAGTTTTTAAATCTCCTATTTCAAAAATTAACCTCATTGATGGTGTGAGTGGTACACGCTCATTACTAGCTAGTGTTAACACCTAAAATATATTTATAACTTAGGAAAATGCCAGATTGTACTAAAGTCTACTAATTTCTACTAAAAAAAGTCTAAAAATATAAATTCTAAGTTTAGGATATATATAAAAGTTTTTTTATTTTGTTAAACTGAATCTTACTTAAACTAAATATGAATTTAAAATATTACAATTTAGAAACTGCTTTAAAATAAATTTGAACAATATTTGTCAGCAAACAGTAAAAGAAAAAAAAAAAAAAAAAAATTAAAACATTCAGAATGTTTTTATTATTATTAAAAAAAATTAAATACAATCCAGTCTATTTAGTAGTTTTTTAAAAAAATGATAAAATTTAATATATATACAGGATCCTGATGAAGGAAACTTGACCCCTTTAAATTCTGAAACCCACCATTTTGAAAACTCAGCTCTGTAGTCTATTAACTAAACAATTTTAAATTCAAAATATCTTGGATTTGGACGGCAGTACCCCCTCGTTTTTGCAGACTTTATTGGTAAATCAGCATTTTTTCACGAAAAAAACAATATTTCCCATAAAAAAAAGGTGAAAAAAAAAAAAAAGTCCTTGAGTTTTAATTTGGGCGGCGCCAAAATATGGTTGACACTGTCGAAAATGGTCTAGAATAGCCCCTGATATATATATATATATATATATATATATATATATATATATATATATATATATATATATATATATACACATACATATAAAGAACATTTTCTATAAAATCAAGATTAACCTTGTTATCGTCCATAACAGTATTTAAAGATTCAATCCACATTGGATCTATATCACCATCCAAAACAATCCATTTTGGAGAATTATTGGCAATATTTGAAAGATCACGCATGGCAACAGAGAACAAACCTAAAAATGTATATATATTTACACATTCAAAAGATAGTTGAAAAAATGTTTTGTTAGTACTTAAAGTTTCATGCCTTTTCAGCACTTATCAGCCATATATTTAAATCAAGAAATAAAATACTTTTAAAAAACACAATTAAAAAAGCATTAAAAAATACAAATAAACAATGTAGTTAGTTCTGATGTCAAATAATATAGAAAAAAAACGTCTTACTAATTACCAGTGTCAAATTGGGAAAGAAGGAATCTATTATTATGTCTACAAGTAGATACAATCTCACTCTTTCAATTTAAAAGATTGGTATATTTATAAGTATTTTGTGTTTTGGTTGTAATGATATATTTATAAGTACTTTGCATTTTTATTGAGACATAATTTACATAGTCAGTTAAGCTTAATCAGATGATTTGCATACTTTGCAATGACTAAGAATTTTCTAATCAACTATGGGATTCAATGTCTAAGAATTCTCTAATCAACTATGGGATTCAAATTAGCTTTTCTTAACTTCCATACCTGCTTTTAAAGCTTTAATATTTACTGATTTTCAAAAATTTAGCATGTTAGCATATTTTGGTTGCAGTTTTCTTGATTAGTAGTTGTATTGTTGCTTAAAATGTATTTGTTGTTTAAATTTATAACTTTTACATTTGACATGTAGCTAACAGCTGTAGCTAACTTTTATAGCTAACATATGTAGCTAACGTCAAATAAGAACTAGAGTTCAACAACACTAAAAAAATCTAAGTTATACTAGTCTGTAATAGAAAATCATAGAGTAAACTGCAATGAGAAAATTGATTGGGAAAAGGTAAAAATATGTGTATATATATATATATATATATATATATATATATATATATATACGTATATATATATATATATATATATATATATATATATATATATATATATATATATATATATATATATACATATATATATATATATATATATATATATATATATATATATATATATATATATATATATATAATATCAGAGAGGCTGATTCCATCAACAGCTATACAGTATCAGAGAACTAACAGTGCCATGTTGCGCATGGATGATGTCCATTGATAGATGGACATTGATAAAGCTGTACCCTAATTGGAGCCCTTTGTTACAGCTTGGTCTTTATTAATAGTAATAAGGTAATTGCTTGGACTATTAAATAGTGTAGTGAATACTATCTGTGCTTTGAGTTAAGTTCTTTAACAAATTTAAAAATGACTAAATTTTCAAAAACTATAAAACACGAAAAAACCATCATCATCACCAAGTTCTTTAAGTCTATCATTCACTAATATTTGTAGTATTTGAAGTAATTTTTCTACTATTGAGTCTTATCTCTTGCAAAGTTTACCAGACCCACTTGCTCTTTGTAAGACTATTTTGAGTTTAATTGTCTCTTTTCCTTTGATCTCAATGTTGATGGTTATCTTTCTTTAATTCATAAAGACTCCCACAGTCACATGCTTGGCTTGGGCATTCGTAATTTCATTCACATTCGTAAGAATTCACCCATTTGTAAGGAAACTAGGTATGAATCCACAAGCTATTCTTTTATGTGTTTTTGTTGAGCCCCACTTCACTCTATCACCTTTTTCTTTATCCTATATCACTCTCCTTCATCTCAAGACTGAACTCATTTGATGTTATTTCTGATCAAATTGACCAAGCCCTCTCTCTTTATCCTTCAGCCAATCACTTTAATACTCATTACACTGAATGGCTTAATTCTAGTGTCAGCGACTCTGCAGGGGTTAAGGCCTGCAACATTTGCCTTTCTCAATCTCTAACACAAATAGTCAACATTCTAACTCACTTTCTAGACAATCCAAATCATTTACCTTCTCTACTCAACTTTTTGTCTTGTTTCTGATCCTAGTCAATGCTCATTTTCTCCCCATTTACCCTTAGGTGCTTCTGATCATGGTTTGATCTCTCTAAAACTATTATCTGATTCTTCTTCATCATTAGAATTCTTTTATCATTGTACCTCTTACAACTACCTTAAAGCTGACTTGGACTCTTTCTGTTATTTTCTTCGTGATGGCCCATGGGTAGAATTCTTTTGTCTTCCTGTTGAAAAATGTGCTTCTTACATAACTTCATGGATTCAGGCTAGCATGGAATCTTTTATTCCTTCTTAATAATTCCAAATCAAGCCTCACTTTTCTCCATAGTTTTCCTCCCATTGTGCTGCTGCCATTTTCAGTCATAATGTACTTTTATAGCTATCAGCAATAAAAGTAACAGTTTCTCCAAATCACAGGCATCATAAAACTTTATCTAATGTTAAAGCCTTCTATTCTCAGGTCATGAAATCTCATATTTTATCTTAAAAATAAAGCTCTTGTGACTTCTGGAGAATCTTTAACAGTATCTATAATAAGTTATATCTGTTATTCCGCCTCTCTTGTATGGTTCAGATTTAGTCACCTCACCTAAAGACAAATTTGTATTATTTGCCAAAAACTTCCAATCAAAATCATCTCATGATTCCACTAGTGATCTACCTGATAGCTGACAAACAAGTTGATCCGTTGCCTGTCGATCATATCACTCCAGCTTCTGTATCTTAAGTGATATCCTGTTTAAACTCTTCTAAAGGTTTGAACAACATATCTCTTATAGTCTTGCAGAAGAATTCTCCAGAGCTTTTGCCTATACTTTCAAAGTATAGACGAAACAAATGCTTATCTGAGTCTTGTTTTTCAGCCTGGTGGAAAGCAGCATTTGTTATCATTTTTTCAATAATTCTGGAGAGCAAGCTGACTTGTTTAACTACCGTGCTTAGTCTTCTTACTATCATAAGCAAGGTTTTTGAGTCTTTATCTAACAAACACTTATTCTCTCATCTTGAATCTCATAACTTACTTTCTGATCAACAAAATGGATTTTGGACTTCTTGTTCTACTACTGATTTGTTAACAGTAATAACCAATAGGTTTTCTTGTGCAATAGATAGATGTGGAAAGGTTAAGGTTGCTCTTGACATTTCTAAAGCCTTTGATAAAGTTTGATATGCTGGACTTTTCCAGAAGCTTTCTTCTTACAGTGTATCAGGTAGCATCTGATACACTGTAAGTAGAAGATTACTAAATCCTTCCTTACCAAATGTAGTATAAAAGTTGATTGATGACTGCAATTGCAGCTGATTCCCATAAACCTGTACTACACGAATGCTTGCTAAAGCTATGTTGGAAATACTTTCATAATTCCTTTGTCTTCATAAACATTCCTAAACTTCATTTTGTCGTATTGTTATTATCATTATTATCATTATTATTTAGTTACTTTGCACATACAAGATTGAAAAGTATCATGAGATATTCAAAATATATGCTGATAAAGTGTTTGTTTACAATAAGGACTGGGTATCACATGATTTCAAAGCAGCTGCAGTAGCAACATACAAACCACTTGTTGGATTGCAAGAACTAAAGAGAATAATCATTCATTTATGAGTCAAAAGGAAAGTTCGTTATTACTGTAAATGGAGAGAAAGATTATAATACAAGTACAAACAATTATCAGTCACTATCGAAAGCAAAAGCATTTTATTCAAAGATGAAGCCAAAATAAGTGAAAAGTTTTCAACCTTTGTCTTCTGCGAAACTAGCAGACATTAAAAACCTCTATAAAGTGACGTTTGGTGAGAACTGGAAAAGTGTTCCAGAGTTAGCTTTCTACATGACATTTACATACAGTGAATTTATTATTGATACAGATAAACCTGAAAATAACTGCATCTGCTGTACCAAAGATGACATGGCATGTGTTTGATAAAAGTTTAATATAGATTTTGAGCAACAGCAATAAGCAGTTATTATAGTCAAAAGTACACTGCAGTAAATTAAAGTTAAAGACATGTTTATCCATAATCATTATAATAGTTCATTTTGTAATATTACCGTTGTTATCAACTATGCTGAGAAAATGATGCAAAACCAAACAAATTCCTTATTTTGGTGTAAATACAGACCGCCTCTGTACGCATTATTATATTTTTGAGTAACTCTCCATCCTTCATACTTGTGTTCATACTTTAAAATAATTAAAATAAGACAGCAAAACCAATGTTTCATTTAAATCCCAAAAACAAACCATTTCTTTAAATTATAAACAAAACAGTTTAAATTGTTTATAATTTAAATAATAAATTAAAAAAAACAACGGTAAAACAAATATTTTAATATTAAATAAAATAATTCAAATAAACTCTGCAAAACTTTCATTCGTTCTTCAAATTTTTAAGTAAAAGTTGACGTTTAAAAGAAAAGTTGATTAACTCTGCATTTGTTTTTCTGTAAATTTTATGCTAAACATTCACACGCTTGTCAAACCCAGTTTTAAAATTTTAAAAATGGGTTTAAAAAGCAATTTTTAGTCAATATATATATATATAAATATATATATATATATATATATATATATATATATATATATATATATATATATATATATATATATATATATATATATTACTAAAAAAAAAAAAAATTCCTCAGATTTTTAAAATGACCCATATATTTAAAAATGGTCTAATTATGGATGGGGGGGGGGCAGCAAATTGCTTATTGTAGCTAGCCTCCCTGCTTATAATGGGAGGCTAGCCATATACTACACATAAAGATCTATGTATTTTGGGGTAAAGATATTGCTTGTAGAATACAAAATTTTCAGTTATAAGCCTTTGAAAATTGAGTTATGGAAGTACATGTAGACCAAATACAAAAATACACATAGTCAGATCAAAGTTAACTACAGTGTTTCAGAAATTTGGCATTTAAGTTGATGACGTTTCTTAAAAGAAATGTTTTAACTTTCTCAAGCGAACTTTTGCAAACTTCATTTGTGCAATCAATGTCTAATGGACAACCATTCCAAATATCACAGTAAGAGAACCATGGGTCAACCCAGTGATCTACAACAAAATTACATGCCTCTCATAATAGCACATATTTCAAGCAATAGATAGTTCTCGTGCATTTGGTTCCTGAATTTATCCTGCATTTGGTTCCTTTAATTTCATTGTGCATTCAGCCTTGGTTTAAAAAAATAAATTGCAGGTAAATTAATTGTGTCTCGCTAAGACTTGTATCTTTTACATAACAAATCCAGCTCCGTGTAATCATTCCTGCCATATTTCTTACTTTTAAAAACTGGCCCGTTAAGCGTGTATTTTCAATTAAATCATGGTAGTTAGTAGTGAACTCAATAATGAACCAGTAAATAATATTAGGCAATGCTGATAAGGAATAAAACTTTGAATTCATATAACGCTTAAGAATCAAGTTGAGAACATGAAATCGACAAGAATGATATACTAAACCTGAAATAAGTTTTGTCAAACATTTAATTACTCCATTTTTAGAACCTAAAAGTGCAGTAGTATCAGATATTACATTAGAAATTATTTAATAATTCTAAAACAACTTTGTGTGACATATTATAAAAAGAGACAGTGTTGCCTTTCTCTTATATTTTTAGATATATACCAAAGATCTAGACTTGCTCAAAATGCAAGTGCTATAACAATGTTATTTGTCTTTGCTCTTACCATCAAAATGTAAGCACCAGATTTTTTCAGAAGATCCAATATAAGACCGAATCAAGCTTATTTTATGTGCAAGTGTTGTAGATGGTTTTTTCATTGCGGATCTGAAAATAGAAGTCTCATCATCAAAAGTTTAGAAGATAATATTACAAATGATGATTACACTATCTCATTAAATTGTGCAAAAATTACTGGTAAGATGGTAGCTGAAAACGAAGAGTTTCCAATAAGTTGTATAGCAAAGATTACAGTAGCTGTAATCAATGCAGTTGATGACAAAAGATTACAGTAGCTGTAATCAACTGTGTTGATTACAGCTACTGAAATCTTTGCTATACAACTTGTTGGAAACTCTTCATTTTCAGCTATCTTAGCTACCATCTTTCCAGTGATTTTTGCACATTTTAATGGGATAGTGTAATCATCACTTGTAATATTATCTTCTAAACTTTTACTACTAGAATTGTTTGTATTATCAAACAATTGACTATAATTTATTTCACGCTTTTTTTTTTTAGGTGGCAAGTCTTGCAGATGAATTTTAATAGGCTCTGTCACAATACTGAATTGAACTTTACACCTATTGGAAGATTTCTAAAGTTCATAAAAGAGTTTGTCTTCCATATTTTATTCTTTAGCATTTTTGGGCATATAAATCAAATAATTTATTCCAGCTATTTATAATACTTGTCTTTTTAATTGTACTTTTTGTTGATTTAATGCTGATCCTCATCGAAACGCCAGTAACAATAGACGCGACTCTGAGGAGATGTTTATTACTTATCACTACACTAATTATGTTTACACATTAGCATTAATGTTTTTTTTTTTCCATTATTAGTCCTTTCATTGTTGTTAGCATATTTTTAATTTGTTGAGTTGTTTTTTGTTTTACAAATTTTTGACTGGTAATGTATTTCTTGTATATTTTAGTTCATATTGGTATTTATAAAACAAATTTTTTTGTTTTTATATATTTATATATATATATATATATATATATATATATATATATATATATTTATATATATATATATATATATATATATATATATATATATATATATATATATATATATATATATATATATATATATATATATATATATATATATATATATATATTATTTGTTTTTATTTTTTTAATTTTTTTTATTGTTATTATGGTTGAGTACTGTTTTGGTTGTATAGCTTGTCTTATTTATTTTTAAATATTCCTCTATTAATCTTTATTTTTGTCTTGACAACTGTCAAAATATGCTTTGTCTAATAAATAATTCTCCTTTATTCTAATGTACTTCATTTCTTCCCTCAGGCGTTCACTGCTCATGTGTGACCATTCGGCGAATTTTATATGCCAAAGTTTTTAAATAATATTGGGCCTAGCCTGTAAGGGTTAGTGTTACGGTCATCGAGCACGACTATTTTCCTAATCGCAATTACTGTCACCATGAAAGAGGATTTTTGTCTGTGAAAGATGCCTGGGCTAGCTTTTTAGTCATAAGTCAATTATAAATCCATGCATAGGTGTTTAATCCATCATGGTTTTCTGGAGTATGGCTGGGCTGGCTTGGTTTAGTTCAGAGACAAATCTTTTACGCTGGTTACTAACAATATAAGACTCTACTGAACAACATAAACAGCACAGACTTACACATTACACCTATACACCCTTATGCACATACAGCCTGTTTACATCTTTTGCATGCTTTTTGTTCTTTCATAGATTAACTATCTTTGTTTAAACTCATCCTTATTTAGATAATATTTTCTTTTAATAGATATGTTGTTGAAACGTAGATACAGATTTTTATGTTAACTATATGTGTTTATCATGTGTGATTGAATTTTTCATTAAAGGATTCATATGCATATACATATAAGCATAAGAGCGATTCTTAAACTAGCGGCTTTCCACTTGTTTTTATGAAGTATGTTTTTCCTTGTTATTTTGTTATGGTCTCAAAGTTACATTTAATTCGGACCGTAGAGAAAACTTTATTTTTCGGAAATTTCAATTTAAATATGGTCTCAAAGTTTCTTTTAGTTCGGACCGTAGAGAAAACTTCATTTCTTAACAATTTTTTTTTCCCGCTTTCTACATCGTTTTTATATCACGATTTATATCATTGTTATATTACCCACAACTAATTTTTTAACCACTCATTTGGCTTAAAATTATCTGGTTTTATTACAATATTTAGTTAGTCTTATTGCTGTATTTATTAATATATTACTTATCTCCTGATTTTCATATTATTACTGTTTACAGAAACTTTCATGTTATATTATCTTGCATTCATTACTCAGCTTTGTTTTAATTTTCACATGCACAATTTTCATCTTTATTATTATTCAGAGAATATTTTTATATCCTTCATTTAATGTTTACATATATGTCGCTTACATTTTTAAGGTTTTTGTGCAACGTTCTTTTTCGCTATTATATATTATTCTATTATTGTTATGATTTTGGGTTTCGCGGGTTACTCATTTTCCTACACTTTTGATTGGTTATCATATTTCAAATGAGGTATCTATGACAGCGTTAGAGTTTATTTAAGGGTATTGTTTTGTTTATTAAAAAAAAATTTTTAATGAGGTATACTGCTTTCTGATTATCTTGGGCTTGTTTATGCTAATAATACCTATTTGGTTTTATTTCTTAAAATAAATTGATTAATATTTTTAAGTTTCTATTAGAATTTTAATTTATTTTGTTTTCATGTTTTCTTTTGGTGGTACGGTAAGTGTTTTATTTAGTTATTTTTATTTTTGTTTGTTCAGTAAATCTATACTTTTTATATCATATCATCAAAAAAAATACTGGTGCTTTACAAATTTGGGGTTAGTTGGGTTTTGGCTATTTGTAGTGAGTCCTTTTTTACTGCAGTATGGAATAGGCGTAAGTTGCGGGGTAAAGCATAAGTGGCGATGACGTTTGTCTGGCGGGATAAACTAGTTATAAATGCTGATCCTCATCGAAACGCCAGTAATAATAGATGTGACTCTGAGGAGATGTTTATTACTTGTTTATTACTACACTAATTATGTTTACACATTAGCATTAATGTTTTTTTTTTCCATTACTAGTCCTTTCATTGTTGTTAGCATATTTTTAATTTGTTGAGTTGTTTTTTGTTTTACAAATTTTTGACTGGTTATGTATTTCTTGTATATTTTAGTTCATTTTGGTATTTATAAAACAATTTTTTTTTGTTTATATATATATATATATATATATATATATATATATATATATATATATATATATATATATATATATATATATATATATATATATATATATATATATATATATATATATATATATATATATATACATATATATATATATATATATATATATATATATATATATATATATATATATATATATATATATATATAATTATTATTATTTGTTTTTATTTTTTTAATTTTTTTTATTGTTATTATGGTTGAGTACTGTTTTGGTTGTATAGCTTGTCTTATTTATTTTTAAATATTCCTCTATTAATCTTTTTTTTTGTCTTGACAACTGTCAAAATATGCTTTGTCTAATAAATAATTCTCCTTTATTCTAATGTACTTCATTTCTTCCCTCAGGCGTTCACTGCTCGTATGTGACCATTCGGCGAATTTTATATGCCAAAGTTTTTAAATAACATCACTTTTTCAAAATGGGAAAAACAGCCAAGCTCAGTGTTTAGATACCATAAAAGCTAGAAACTAGTCAGTTAGGCCAGCAAGAAAACACCTGCATAAGCCACTTGCTTTATACAAAATGTTTAAATGGCTTAACCATGCCATCACTAAAGATAAGAAGTAGGTATTCTATATAAACCATACCAGGAGGCACCAGTGACTAAGGCTGACAAACTGCCAAAACAAACAAAACAAAAAGCAACCTGCAGCTCTAAAAAAATGTTGCTTGGTTTAATGGCATATAAAAACATGTATTCTGGGAAATGCTTCTGCTAAACACCACAATTACAACAGCAACCTACTGTGATCAACATATTTATATAGGCTTATATATAGTTTGGAAATAGACTTATCTATATACTACATATAAACCATTACATCTTTAACTATTAATGGATAACATGTACAGAACTCATATTGATGGTATACTCAAATATTGCACAGTAAAAAAAAAAAAATTAAGTGTAAGTGTATACCATCTTTCCACTCCCTAGTTGCAGGATTGATGAACCCAAACAATTCGTCTGCAGTAACAGCTTTAGGATTCATGTCAATCATATAAGGTCTTTTCTTCTGATTAAAATAAGTTCTATTTAATGACCTAATAACCTAAATAAAAAAATTTCTCAATCATAATCACAGAATAGTGACCATCAAAATATTTATACAAGGTGAGTTTTTTAAAGAGCTTTTTAAAGAGCTAAAGAATCAATATGATTGGTTTTATCAACATGATTGGTTTTATCAACATGATTGGTTTTATCAACATGATTGGTTTTATCAACATGATTGGTTTTATCAACATGATTGGTTTTATCAACATGATTGGTTTTATCAATATGATTGGTTTTATCAACATGATTGGTTTTAAGAAATTTTAAACCTTTAGTTCAGAATTCAATAACTTGACTGATTCATTTGACGTGAAAGTATTTTTGTTATTAATATTAAATAAAAACATTGAAAAAATTCAGTTATATCTTATGTAAGAAAAATTCAGTTATATCTTATGTAAGAAAAATTCAGTTATATCTTATGTAAGAATAATAGCGTTATAACTATCAGAAGAAAAAACCTGAGATTTTCCTGTTCCAGCAGCTCCAATCACAAACACAGAATGTCTAACTTCTACTAGTTCTTGAAGTTGAACAATTTTCAACACAAAACTATCCTCAGGTTGAAGTTTTAAATCCTAAAATAAAAATTGCAATAATAAAAGTTATTTTATTACAGATTGATAAGATTTCATATAAAAATAAGTTATTAGCAGTCCACAAGATGACTAGTTAAATATTTTTTTCTTTATAAATAAAAAAACTATAAGCAAACTAATTTATGAAACATAATTCTAACACTTCTAAATAGCTAAAATTTATTACAAACAAATATATTATCAGGCCTTGTGATGAATAAAAACTGCGCGACGCATAAGCACGACGTGATTTTTGACGTCATTAAATTCTTTTTATTTACTTTTCATATTTAGCGACATTAACTGCATTAATTTACTTAATTACCGCAAAACTACTTTAAATGATTAATGTAGAAATGTTATTATTTAAAAATGTTTTGGAATGTTTCGTTTTTTAAAATGTAAAAACATTTGTTTATTTTCTCGATGTTGGTCACGTTTTGTCTATACTAAACGAATATAAAACATTATAACTAAACATTTAAAAAAGATTATAAACGCTGATATTTGATTTTTTTTCTTCTCAAATATGTAATTTAAAGTTTTTCAAATAATTATTTTTTCTTTTTAAAAAGTCAGCGAGTAATAAACTGGAAATTTTAATATTGTACAATTAAAAACTGTGCAATAGCTAATATTTTTACCAGCGATTTTATATAATATTTTTTTATTTATTTTTATAAAGCGGTTAATAAGCACAATCACTCGTATTACTAAAAAACTTTAACAAACGTTTTGAATAGATTTTTATTGTTTACAAGGAATTTTATTTTTAGTAAAATAAAATAAAATGTTAGAATAAAAATCTTTGCACAAATAAAATATTTTTATTTGCGCTTACCAATTTTTAAAATGTTTCCTCGAAATTACTCTTAAATACTTTAAATACATCAAACAGTTAATCAATATTTTTAAATCTGTGGAATAATTTTAAAACATAACAAACCCCCGTAAAATAATTATTTAAGTTAAAAATCTAAAACTAAAAGAAAGTATTTTTGTTCAATTTTATCGACAACTTTGCTATTGCTGAATAATTTTATTAAAATGTTAGCTTAAAAACTTTTTTTTTAATCTGAACTTTTTTTACTTGTAAATAATGAGCATATTTAATTTTTTTGTAATTCAAACTTTTATATCAACTGCGTGCAGTTTTTAAAATACTTTATTAAATGTTAAAATAATCGTAAGTTACTTCATTAAAATTCCGCTCAAAAATATCTTTAAATATACTCAAACAAAAAATTTTTTGCTCGACGTAAATAGCCCTAGCTACACGCAAAATCGCTCTTGGACGACGTAAAATTCACATCGCCCGACGCTTTATCGCAAGGCCTGTATTATGAAATGCAAACATAATAAACAGTAGCTAGAACTTATGAAAAAACAATCCTTATATATTTTTATTAAGATTGTGTGAAAATAAAGTATTTGATCATTGATCAACATTGATATTTAACACAACCTCAAAAACTTAAATAAAATAGATGCTGTCATCTAAATAGATTTTCAAGATTTGTTATTTAAAAAAATTTAAAATGCTTTTTATCTCTCAACAGATCGAGTAAAATTCATTAACAAAAAAAATTTAAGGCTATTATTTAATAACTTTATTGAACAATAACTTAAACATTACTGGTAACTACTGTTAAATTTATCCATTAAAAACTTTATCATGGACATTTGCAAAAACAATATAAAACTGCATCAAGTATCATGTATTTAAAATTAAAAATGTATCATGTATTCAAAATTAAAAAATGTGAAAACTATTCAAAGTTAGAATTAAAAAGCCCTATAACTTGCAAATAAAATTATTTTATGTTTAAAAACAAAAATATGCAGAAGTATTTGCCACTAGAGGTTATTTACCACAAACAGATTTTATATAATTCATATTTCATTGATTTTGATTTAGCTGAATATTTATTGATAAATATTAATAAATACTTTTAAAAATATTTTGTCACAATTTATTTTATTAATAGAAATCTGCCCATCAGAAATTACGAAGATAATATGACTTGAAAAAAAAATAGTAAAATACATATTGATAAAGTACTTTAAAAATTATGATATATGATTTTAACCCTTATTGAATAATGTACTTTAAAAAATATGTTGTATCTTTTTAACTCTCAGTGATAAACTCTAAACAATGATCACATAAAACTTTTAAACCACACTCACAAAAAAAAGTTCTTAAAGAAATAAAGAAATTCACTTTGATGAAAACTATGAGCTAGCAATACAAAATTTTGCATGGAATGAAACAAATAAATTGTTTGTTCTTTAATTATAGACACATTCTAAAAACTACACATTCAATAGCTAAAACATGTGATTATCTAAGCTGATGTAAAAAACTATGTAAAAAAGAAAACATTCTTTGCATATATTATTTTCAACAGATGGAGCAAGCTACAGCAAAACATCATTAATTGTATTACAGTAAATGCATTCAAAATAGTAAGTGATTGGGGTTGAAATTTGACTGGGGCCAGGGCTGAGTTTGTGACCGGAGCTGCATAAACCTTGATACACCCTAAAGTATATTTTTTTATTCAAAACTCATACTATTTTTACATATATGTTTATATTTACATAAAAATACTATCATGGTCAACATGATAATGATGGTGTCATTTGTGGGCTATCTAATTTAATTTCCATTAGCACAGATTCCAGATATACTCATAGAAAAAGGATTATGTATCAAAGAGTTGGTTTTAAATTACTCCTGTACGCAATGTAGCTTGTTTATTACTTGCTCCAAATGTAAATTCTCTTTTTCCCACTGGAACCAAACTATACTTGTTTCATCCTTTAGCAATCCTTTTGCTTAAAATTGAATATGAGACTCCAAATAAATTTTACTCTGAACATTATTCTCTTCTATCAGTACTACAACATGTTGCAATACTTCAACATTTTTTTCAAAACACTCACTTTATTAAGTATGTCTCAGTTTATTAAGTAATTTTATGTTCTTATGATTTTTGCACAGACATGTGACATCTTTAGCAGACAGTTTTATTTTTTGTCTTTATTTTTGTAGAGTCTGTTTTTTTCCTGTAGTTGTTCTAGAACTGTCATCACATGTAAGAAACTCCTTGATAACAAATAAACTTTTTGATAACAAAGAAGAGTTAGGGGTTTTATTACCTTCTGACAAATTAGACATCCTGCTTGTTTTGTTTGTAAGAGAATCGTTTTCTAGTAGACAATGTACCAGTGGTTGTAGGGGAACTTTATCATGAAACAGGCAAGGAACATTTAAGCCTTAACCAAATTTTTTAGCCATTTCCAATTTGCCCATCAATGTCTTTATTTGCCTATAAAGCTTTGTTTTCAGGAAACAACCTTTACTCTACCTCTTTGTTTCATTAATTTTTTAATTCAACACACATTCTTTTGAGTTCGATGTTTCAATCTTCATTTTCATAGCTCTAGATTTTGCTTTTTAGGCGTGCCAATGGCGACAAACAACTCATTTTTTTCTTTCTGATAGTTTTGAGATATTGGTTTAGTCCATGATGGTGAGAAATATTGGTTTAGTCATGGCTTTGAGCAGCTGTGGCGCAGTGGTAGCACACTTGCCTCAGAAGCAAAGGATCCGTGGTTCAAACCCCACCTCTGGGCAAGTTTTGCGACATGGGTTAGGAAGAAGGCATGAACTTCCAACTAAATGCTCATCCGCGATGCTCTGTGATAAGACAGTTAGGACTTCTTAGGGCACTTAAATTTAGAAAAAAAAAAAAAAAAAGATAACTTTCACTTTCTTCTGTTCACGAAGCATATGTCAATGTTTGCGTTCTTTTTCAGGAACTGTTTCTTCATTCTTTGCTAATTATCCCAAAACACTTTGTTTCAACACATGATTTCTTAGAAGTTTTATGTTGTTACTTAGATGTATTTCCTGTTGGAAAAATAGTATTATAATTAACATTTGACAACAAAAGTTTATTTATTATTTTTATTAAAATATGTTTCCAGGCATCATTTTAAAGGCCGAACAAATTAAAGTCAAATATAAGTATAAACCAAACAATAAATCCTAATACTAAATACTTATAATTAAAAAATTATCATCTTAATTTCTTACAATTCCTTGAAAATAAAAGAAAGCAGCGTATATACACTGCAATGTTACCATGTTTCATCACTGCAACGAATCCCTAATAGTTGACATTTTTACTCAATGCAGGAAATGGCATAGTTGAAATCAATTGATTTGTTTTATCATTATAATGTCAGCTCCATTATGTTGTTGTCTACTCTATTATTAAGAGGAAATCAGGGAGTTGATAGTAAAGGAATAGACATATGTATAAATAGTAAAAAATATCTCATTATTACTCACTTGAAGACATATTTAAAATGTTTATTGTTATATTGTCCCACTGATTTTAAGAGTACCAAAACAATATAGTCCTAAATGCAGGACATCTGCAGAATGGACATTTGTGTATATAATTTTGTACACAAAATTTTAAATTTTAGCTATGAATATCAGATAAAGTACTAGTTTATTATAACCATAAATATTAACATCCATAACGTTATTTTTTATGTTAATTGTACTATGATTGCGTTTTAAGAGCTTTAGGACAAAATTTCAATAACCAGGTAGGCTGAATGAGATTAAAACTCAAATACTACACCATATAAATACAAAGGTTTATACAAATATGTAAAGATAATGTATGCCAGCAACTAAATAATTTGCAATCATATGTTTATTTCCATATATCCATATTATTTATGCATAAATGCAGCTCTTATCTAATCTCTTTATTCCAAGTAGGTATGAAATTTTTATTCCTTCTCTTTGGTTTCAAATCAAGCCTCATTCTACTCCGTGCTTCTCATCTTCTTTTGTAGTAGTTATATTAAACCATAATCTTTTTTTTGTCTTTTTACAATGAAATCTCAATTGAGAACAAATATCTTTTTTTTATTGCAAGAAGATAATGTAAAAAGATTCTGTCTAATGCTAAGTTCCATTATTATCAGTTTACTAAATCTTATCTCAGATGTTAGGTTCAAGAGACATTTGGAAAGTCTTTAAAAATGTCATTAAGTCTGAAATTACATCTCTAACTCATCGGTCTGATCTTATTACTTTTCCCCAGAATAAGACCAAGTTATTTGCAAATAACCTTTCGTCTAATCAATTCTCTATTTTAATTTTCTACAACTTTTGGTTCAGACAACATTTCCATCATAGTCTTACAAAAAAGTTCTTCAATCCTTGCTAAACTATTATTAGATGCTAAATAAGTGATTCCAGTATTTAATAACTCTAGAAAACACTCTGACCAACTATTGTCCAACTATTCTAAGGTTAGTCTTCTCTCTAATATTTTCTTTTATATAAAAGGTTTTAAGATTATTAAATCATTTCTAACCAAAGTCATTCTCAAACCTTACATTTTTCTTTATTTCTAGTAACTTAGGAGTACTGCAAAGCTCTATCTTTGCAGTACTCCTTATTATTTCTTATCTACAATAATAGTCTTCCTGACAACATTACATCTAAAGTAGCTCTATGAGCCTTGAGGAGGTGAACACAGTAAAAAAAAAAAAAAGGATATATTGTTTCTTCTTTCTAAGTGTTAAAATCAATAAAAAGATTTTGTTAACTTATACTTCTATTTATTTCTTATCAAAGATATTTTTTTTGAATAGTTAAATTATATTTAACTATTCAAAAAGACTCGACAAATAAAAATTGTTTAAGCTAAATATTTAATGAGCATATTTATCATCTTTATATAAAAATAAAAAAACATTATTAATATTTTGCATACCAGAACAGCTTTTCTAATTTCAGCTTCAAATTCTAAATTTCGGTTTCTTGGAACATCCATAGATGGAAATAAATCATAGATCAGTCCCATGAAAACTGGTAAGTCATCTGTAACAATTTTTGGAATGTTAAAATCACGCAATGCTCTCATGAGAACCTGATCTTCTGCTCTCGCACGATCACCTCTCTTTAAAGTACCTGCTACTACTAAAACAGACTTGATAGCTCGTAACCCCCAATCATAATGATCCTAACAATAAAAAAATTATAAAATATAGCTTTATTGCAGTGAGTAATCATTAAAAAATTAATGTAAAAATTTTTGAAATAGACAAAAGTTCAAATTTATTCAAAAAACTAAAAAAAATTACTTACTATTATATTATTTCAATTTTTTTATTTTTACCTGTTTTGAAAGAAGCTCTTTACATAATGTGTAAAGGGTTATAAACTTCCTTGCAAGCATTTTTGCTTCAACAAACCCTTCTGCAACCAACATAATCTCACATATAAGTTCAAAATCAGGTACAACCATAGCGCATGGTCTAAAGTTCAAAAAGTCATATAAAATCCTATAAGCTTTTAAATCCAAAAAAATATCAGATTTAATGCCAGAAACAAAAGAATAACAAAAATATTTTAGTTAACAATACTGCTTTGTTTTTTTGTCAAAAATTCTAAACATCCTAAACATGTTTAACATCCTAAACATGTCTAACTTTCTTAACATGTCTAACATCCTAAACTTGTCTAACATCCTAAACATGTCTAACATCCTAAACATGTCTAACTAAACATCCTAAACATGTCTAACTTTACTCTGTAAGTAACTTTATTATTTAAGATGGATTAAAGATAATATCTGCCAAGAATTTACCTGAAAAGACATTTTAAATTTTCTGGGAGTTCAGTTCTTCCAGCATATCCTGGGTTCATGGTTATCCACATACCTACAGTTGGTATTAAGGATATTTCTTCACCCTGGAAAATAAAACGCTTTTTCTTATCACGAATAGCATCCTGGATTGATTTTACTTGAACAGCTATTACTGACAAAACTTCAATTGAAATACGATTAAACTCGTCAAAACACCCCCAAGCTCCTGATTGTGCAAGTCCTTTGTAGATGTTACCACAACTCTAAATAAAATAATATCACAAATTTTAATTCAAAAATATATTTTTTAACTATCATTAAAAACTCTGTTCTTTAAAAAGCTTAAAGTTATAGAGCAGAAACAAATGTTTTTTTGTACAATAACATTTTAAAGAACAGTACAATAACATTTTGTCACAAGATTAGTAGTTTAAAAGTTATCTTGTTAATTAAAAACTAAAAGTTTTCTGAAAAGCATAAACACATTTTTTAGAAATATATCTATTTCTTCTTTTTATAATCTATTTAAAATAACAATTTCACCAAATTTTATCATATACCAAATAATTTATAAAATTCTGTATCATTTGTATATTTTGAATAGCTTACAAATTTTTGGTGATTACAAAATTGGGTTTTCAAGTCAGTTAGATTTTAACAAAGATTCCAATATGTATAAGTAGTTAGGGTAATTTCTACTATGTATGCAATACTTGATACAAATTAGTTACTATATATAAAACATAGTTCATTTTTTCTACATGGATTTAATGACTCAATAGCGTTTTGAAGGTTCAATGATGTTTTGAAGGTTTAATAGTGTTTTGAAGGTTCAACAATGTTTTGAAGGTTCAATGGTGTTTTGAAGGTTCAATGGCATTTTGAAGGTTCAATGGTGTATTGAAGGTTCAATGGCGTTTTGAAAAGTTTTTTTGTCGAATGAATTACTTTTTTGAGATTTTATTATAGTATAATATTACTGAGCTCTTTGTCATTCCTTATTTATGGAATCAATCACTTTGAAACATCTATTCATACTCATAAAAATACGTTCAGGTCTCTAAATTTATTGAAAATAGTGATGGTATGATTTTCATACGTTTTCACTATAAGTGAAACACCTAAACGCTATATAGCTTTTTACTTGCATAACTATTTATATTTACTTACAAAAAGTGTTTTGAACACTGAAATATATTGACTTTTCATAAGTTATTATTTAAAACATTTTAAGCAAGTAAATATAAACAGCTCTGCAAGTAAACAATTAACTAAACACAAACAAGAACATTAAATAAAAATAGAAAACAATTTTTTGAGGTTATATTTTTAAAATTCATTTTTAAGATTATATACTTTTTTAAATCAACAATAATAATCCATAGTAGTGTTAGTAGTAATTAGACTTTACCTCATTTTTATATAATAATTAACAATATTCATAGTTTTGAATATATTTTTACTAAGAAAATTTTTTTATGTGGCTATATTAACACAAGTCAAATAATGCGTACTTAAAATTCTAAAAATGATTTTACCTTGTAGTCCATTTGCTCTGAACAGTTAAAAACATAGACAATAATACCCAGTGCACGCCCTAAATCCTTTGTTGTTTCGGTTTTACCCGTTCCAGCTGGACCTGCTGGAGCACCACTCATATTTAAATGAAGTGACTGAGTTAGTGTGATGTAGCACCTGCATATAGAAGTGAACTTTGTCTCATTTTTATATAATACTTATTAAAAATGTAAAGTATTGAAAATGTAAATTACAGTATTAAAATAGACCTCAAACAAACCTGTCAGTTAACGGTGTAATAACAAGTCGAGGTGTATTTCCAAGATACTCATAAAAGTATTTAAACTGTGCATCACAGATGTTAACAAAACAATGCTGGAGATGATCGTCCCAACGATGTCTTAACTGACTTAACCATAAAAATGCTTGTGAATTTTCAACTTTTTGTTGAATTAACTTTGCAATTACATCTCGAGCATGAACATCAATAGTGCAAATGGTCATTATTTTTTGTCTGTCACCTGGAGATAAATCCCCAACTAACATTGTTATTAATGTTGTGAGTTGTGTAATCTATTAAAAAAAAAAAAACTACTATATTATTATAATTTAGTTTAATGTACAAAATAACATATATACATATGTTACTTTTTTAAACAAGATTAAGAAAAATACCTGTTTTTTGTAGTAATCTTTCATGGCATTTTCATAACCTTCTTCTAAACGATTGAATGATATTCCAACTTCTGTTGTCCACCAAATTTGTGTTCCGCATAAAGCAACCTAAAATTTAAAAATAATTTTTATAATGAAACACATTAAAAATAAATTAACATTAAAATATTTTGTATATTAACAAGGTATGGTAACGCAGATAATATGTTATGGGACAATTAATATGGAATAATGAGTAATGAGACCCCCTTTAATACCCCTAGCATTTTGATACACTTAGCCTTAGCAAAATTATTCAACAGTAAAAACTGACTTGTTTAATCAGAAATTCTCTCTTCATAAAAAAACCTATTCAAGATCAAGAATTTGAAATAATTTACACTGACAAAAAAAAGTGTACATCTTTTTGTCCAAAAATTATCACCATTTAAAATATTGCATAACCACATGACCATATAGTATTTTAAATACTACACAGTTTATATAAAAAAAATACATTCAGGTAAATATGACAGCAACAGTAAATATAATAGCTCATTCTATATTTAAAAAAGAATATTACAACCTGTGCAGGATAATCAAACAGCCAATGGTCTCGTGGCTTTTCTTCATATGCTACCACTGCTTCAGATAATTCATGTCTGATTGTTTCTTGCATGCAATTAAGTAATCTAGTTAACCATGTTTCAACCTAAAATTAAATTTTTATAAAAATTATTTTTTACATACTTTTCATTCGCTATTACATATTTGATAACTAATAAATAATGTTCTAAACAACAGTTTTAACTTATAAAAACACACTGCTTACTGCTAATTACATTTAAATACCACGTAGTAACAATTTAGGTTATTGAGTGGTATTACAAAAATTAAAATACAAGTTACAACTTTTTATTGTGATTGAAATAATAATATTGCCTCAATAATTGATAAATAATCTCAAACAGAAACTATGCTTTTAAAGTAAATATAGCCTAACTTCATACTAATGAAACTAGAATAACTACATTAAAATCAAATCAATTGAAATATTTTTACCTGTCCAGTATACATAAATGGCTTGTTAAACTTACCTGTCCAGTACACATAAATGGCTTGTTAAACTTAACATATTCATTTTCTTTACTATACATCCCAATAGCTTGCTTTGTTTGAACTCCATCATTGTCCTTTGTAAATTCTAGTGTTGACATATTATCAAATAATTTGGCCAAATGGCGACAAACCTAAATTTAAATTTAATATCTTTAAAATAAAAAAATCTTTTTATAAATGTTTTTTTTAAAAATTAAATTAAATTTCAGAGAATGACTTCAGAAACATCATAAAATATTTAAAAGAACATGTAGTACCCAGCATCATCTAGGTTCTAGAAGATAAATAAAAAACCTGCTAAATGTTAAAAAAAAAAAAAAAAATCTAATTAAAACAAAAGTTGTTTGTTTTTAACAAAATAAGGCTTCTGTAAAGATTTTGGGATGATAATGATAAATACTGAAGGTCTCTTAAGTTAATTAAACAACATCAACAGCAAGATAAATATAAAGCAAGGATTCAAAAGAGGATAAGAAAAATTCTTCAAGAGATCGATATGAATAACAATAATAATTTAAATAGTTTATATTTTAATGGAAAAAAAAAATGCTTACAAATTTACTTAAAGCAAGCAAATAATACATAAAATTGTTGAAGAACAATTTCTCTCATTGAAGAATCAAAATTAAAATATATTGGAAATTCGAGATTGAAATTTCCCATCAGTTTGCTGAATTACTTTAAAAACAGGTAGATTCTACACAACTTTTGAATTAGTAAAATGTCTTTAAATGCAAAGCAAAATAGTTCAAATAAATAAAAAAAAGTTATCTAATAGTTTAAATAGAGATTATAAAGCGATAACTGAATATACCATTATAATTTCTTGTTTATTGTAGATGTGAAATATTGGATAATTTGGTTACCATAAGATGTGGTAAAACCAATTTTGACCAATTTTTGACACCAATTTAGGTCATAAAATTTAAACTTTTGGAAGAGCTTTAGGAAAGTCTACAGAGTAGTTTATAAATTAACTCCATACAAACTACTATCCTTTCACCATGTTTCAATTATTTTAGATGGATCTAAATCAGGCTCTCAGATTTTTTAATTTGATTACTAATGTCAAACTGAAAAATTACCAATTATTGCATTTAGATTAGACTATATTTAGACTTAAATCCAGCAAAATAATGCTAAGTTTTCACTAAAAACAATAATACTTGCATATATACAAATTGCAGCCTTGACTAGTATTTTTTATAAATACAATATTATTTATAAACTTATTTATTAGTACTTTCTTATTATTTCTTTTGGTATTATTATTTAACCTATAAACAAAATAACAATAGTTTTTTTTTGTTTTTTTTTTCTAATTTTTCAATACTTCTATAAAATTATAAATTATGAATTTAGTTTCAGAGCACTTTGTGTAATTAATTATTATATTCTTCAATAGCTTTGCTAACAAAATTATTAAAGGTATATACTGTGATAACAAAACTAGAGCAATTAAAAATTTACAGTTTTGCATCCATAATTTAATAAAATGTCTGAAATAAACTGAAAAAAAATTTATGTGCAATATTTATTAGCAACAACATGCAGTGGAAAGGTATGTTAAATACTTTATCTTATATCTTTATATAATATTACTTTTAATAAATAAAAATATCTTTACATACTGAGGCTAGCATAAAACTTTATTAATGATGTTATACTTAAATAACCATCTGTGGGGATTCAGTACATGTATCAACTGAAGGTTTGGGCAGGTACTACCTAGTTATGAAGAACTTTATATAAAGCAAAAAAAAAAATTACAAATTAATCTATCTTATAAAAGATTTTATTTATCATTTGATTTCACATTATAAAAATCAGTATTTATGGTAATAACCTAAAAAAAAAATTAGCAAAAAAATTCATTGTAGCCCACAAATCGACACATCAGTTAATTTTTATTTTTTTAAATAGTTATTAATTAATTAAATATTTTAAATTGATACTTCATTATACCTTTGAGCATTTTTGAGTAATACATTTCTTCTAGGAAATTAATCTTATTGAGAAAAAAAGTTATTGGATTTATTGTAAATTCTTGGAAGCAAGAAGTATAAATATATGACTGGACTGCTGATAGTCTTAACCAACTATAATCTAGGATCAAGTATTACATGAAAAAAATGGATATCAAAGTTTTAAAAAAATCTGTAATTACAATGTAAAAAAGAGATAAACACACACAGATAAAAAATATAATATTTTTTGTAATAAAAACAAGGAAAAAAAAACTAGACAGTTGACAGGTCTGTTTCAAAATAAATCTTGTACAGACCCGGCAATCTTTATTTTACTACTTACAAGTTTCATCACATAGATACTTCTATGATATAAATGAATCATTAAAAATATTACATTGATGCTTAGTTTACTGAACTATCTAATTAAAAACTTTACTTTTCTCTTTTTAGTACAAAAAAAATTATATTTTTTAGCTGTTATTACATACACAGCATTACACTAATATATTGATGACATAACAAATAAAGATCAAATTAAACAAATAAAGGACAAGTTACTTGATTAAAAATTCTGGTCAAGTAAAAGAAAAGGTTATAAAAATAAAAAACATTTGGAATGTTTTAATTTTATTGAAAAAATAAAAAACATTCTGGCCTATTAAGTTGTGTTTTTGTGGTATTTTAAAAGCAACAAAATTTAATTAGTTTCTTCAATAAAATTTTATGGTTTTTACATAAAGCGGACTTGCCATTTTTTAAGACACATTATTAAGAGTTGTTTTTTACAACAAACGGTAAATTTAAAGTCTTTACTATAAAAATTTCTTATTAATATTTAAAATTAAAAGTAAAAAAAAAAAAAACAATTTACCCTGTTTAGCACTTGAATATTAAGAATTCAAACTATTTACTAACAATTGTTTTTAATAAATAAAATGTATTTAAGAAAGGTTTAACTATATAATTACAGAAATAAATCATTATGTTTCAATAGTTAAAAAGGGCATTTTACTGAAAACTATGATGTATATTATTATAGAGAAAAAATAAATAAAAACTATTAAGATATGTTTATAGAAACATATATACATGTCACCTACCTCTAAAGGTTGATTTCCTTTAGATAAAATATCAAGTAAGTCAGCAGGAGAAACAAAGTAAAAACGTGGGAATGCAAGACGTTTCGTCTCTAAATACTCTGCTAAAGCTTTTTCGCATAAGCTTAGTCTATAAAAAAAAATCAAATATAACATGCATAATTTTAAAGAAGAGATTGAATATAATAAACTTGTATTGTTAAATCAATAAAAAATAAAATTAAGTATAACTAATGCAGATTTCATATAAATTAGGTATTTATTATCTTTCTGAAGTCAATATATTACTGATATCAATTTTTATACATTTCTGATATCAATTGCTTAAAGTTTACATTTAAAACTTTAAAAGGCCCAAAGTTTGAAGACTAAAATACATTAAAAATATTTTTATTATATTTCCATTTTACTGTTTTCATTATACATAATACCAAAGAGTGTTAAAGAGCAACAAAACAACTACAGCAGACTTTTTGTCAAAAGTTGTTAAAATTTTTAAAATTGAACCTTTAAATACTTTAAGAATAACTTATAATTGATGTTAAATTAAAATTATGAAAAGTTAAGTAAACCTGGCTTGAACATTTTCCAACTTTTCATATAAATTTGGCTTAGTACAGCACAATACAACATTTGGAGTTTGAGATGCATTAATACACATTTCCTAATTAATAAATAAAAAAGTATAGCTTAAAAAATCTTAAAGAACATTGTATGTATATAGATACATACATACATACATACATACATACATACATACATACATACATACATACATACATAAATATATACACACACAAATATATATATTACATATTCATATATATATATATATATATATATATATATATATATATATATATATATATATATATATATATATATATATATATATATATACATATATATATATATATATATATATATATATATATATATATATATATATTTATATATAAATAAATATATATATATATTTATATATAAATAAATAAATATATATATATATATAAATATAAATATATATATATATATATATATATATATATATATATATATATATATCAGTGTAAAAAAAAAACACCTTAAAATCAAAATCTATTCCATCAAATCTTGCAGAATCCTCGGGAAGCTGAGCCCTAATATCATCTGAACCAATAAAAATACTTTCTAAGTGTGACCATGTCCGTTGTACTTCCATCCACATAGAAAGAACAGCATCAACTGTAGAAAGCTTTTTCTGCCATCCTGAAACTTCTACTAAAAAATGCCCAATGTATTTGGAAGTCATCAAATTTTGTAATTGAACCTAAAGTCATTAATTTCAATTTTTTTTAAATATAATAATTTACAACTTTTTTATGTATTAGATCACTAACTCTAAAGAAGAAATGAATTAGTATAGAAAAATATAGTATAAGAAAAAAAAAAATCACTGCGAATAAGACTTTATTTAAAAAGATATTCTAAAATAAAATTCTACAAATATGTTATCATTAAATTTTAAACATACTTGGTTATCTTCCAAAACTTCTATGAGTTCTTCACTTGTCTTTAACAACTTAATTTTTGTTCTATGATGCTCTTCATATTCTAACAACATAACTGACCATGTGTTATTAAGTTCTGCAATGACTTTTTCCATGCTTAGTTCCTTTGTAGCTTTATCCACAATATTGTGAACTTCATCTTCAAACTTATGCAAGTTTAAAGCAAGTAAGTCTGCAAGAGTTGTATTTTCATTCATCAAAAACCTTACCTAAATCAATACAAGAATTAATGCAATAGTTTCAATACATTTTAGATATATGAAAATAAGACAATACTTTTATATGTTTAAAATTTATTGAAAAAAATAGTCTAGTAAGTATTTCATATTTTTTTACTTTAGTTGCTTTCATCAATTGCTGCCAATGACGTTCTCTGAGTGCTGGATTCTGAAGTTCACTAATAGACCGCAAAGATGTTATCATATTTTTAACTGTACAGTCTAAGCCATTAAATGCATCCCATGCTTTCATCTCTTTATCCAGAGTACGAATTTCTTTCACAAAACTTTTACAGTCAACTTCCATAGTATCAACATCAATTTTTGACCTGAAAAAAAATATATATTGTTATTCTAAAAATAGTATTAATAAATAATTTAAGAATAGCCAATCATCTTTAACTATAAGAAATGTAGAGCAGTGCACTAAGGTAACAAGATAACAAACTCATTATCAAATGTAAAAAGATTTTAATCACATAATACTATGTAATTTAAAATGAAAAGTATGAATAAATGCCAACAAAGTATTTGACATTATGTGAAACAATTTACCCAAAATCAAAAATGTTTATATTTATATACTTTTTTTTCTTGATTTAATTTATAAAAGATACCACATCAGACTACATCTCGAGTATGCTATTTAAATATGGAAACCACATTATTAATAAAATATTTTCATATTTGTAAGAATACAACAACAAAAATGTTTCTAGTTCACACAATTTTTTAATTGCAACAGTCTAAAATCTTTACTTTTAAGTAACAATATTAGGAAGAATTCAAAACTTGAAGTTTATTTATTTTTATTGTGGAATGAAACAAACAACTCTCATAATCAGAAAAAAATATTCTAAATATAATGGATAAAACTTTACATTAAAACTGAACACTTTAGAGATGCTAAGCTACATTGAAACATATTTAAAAAATATTTTTAAATATGATTCTAACAAATTTTGATTTTTCTTATGTCGAAAAATCCCTGTCAGAATAAAGATTTTTGTCAATGATTTTTAGTCTGTAGTAAATGGGTAGATTAAACAAAACAAAAAAACTCTGAATTTCAATACCAGGGGAAGGAACAGATTTGTCATATTACAGCTTCATTTATAAAGTTATTTTAAGAATAAATGCAAAATAAAAAATATTTATGAGCATCAAAGATTTTTTTTGAATTAAATCAAAGTAATAGTTACACAAAAAACAAACAAAATGCACAACATAATAAAATATTTAAATAATAAAATGCACATATGTAAAACAAACAAAATGCACAACATATTTAAATAATTTAAATAGTAATAATATTAGCACATTAAACAATTTTAAAAAAATAAAGAGAACTTAAATTTTTATTCTTTTTGAATAAAAAAATTAACGTTCTCCTTAATAAAATGTAAGCAAAAAACTTTTCGTTTACATTTTATTCTTGCTTGATCAGCCACGAAAGTCAACTCCACCCTTCTCTTGCCTGAATGGTGGAAACATATTTTTTCATTATAAAAGTAAATAAAATAAAATAAATCTTTTAATTTTGTTTAAAAGAAATAATAAATTTGCTTAATAAGTTTTTGAAAAAGGAAAATCAGTGGGTTGTACCAACTGAAAAACGTTCTGAAGATGGAAAAATGTTTTGATTCAATCAAATGGTTCACCTGTCAAGTACAAATATTGTTCTTCAACATTTCAATCAGCATCCAAAAGCTAAATGATTTATCATCTTGAAAAAGTTGTAAATATTATTTTTAAAAAACTTCTAGAGTTAAAGAAACAAATGTCAGTTAAGAGAAATAATAGTCAGATTTATTGCTTGTCTTAAAACCAAGATTGATTCACCTGAGGATTTGTTGCAGTAAATCTCAATTCAATTTGAGAATGATGATGAACATGATGAAATTGATAAAATTAATGAAAATTCTAATGATGAACAAAGTGGGAAATAACAGGAAGAGTTTGATAAAAATGTGAAAAAAAACAAGATGGAAATCTTTGATCGAAATGCTTTCAAGATAACTAAAGATAAAAAATGTTTTAGACCCCATTCTTAATTATCTATCTGTCAGTGAATTGTTACTCACTAAATCAGAAGTTGATATCATAAGGGGTTTAGTTGTTTAGAAATAATTGAGGTTGACGCTATTGCTATTTCTGATAGGGATGTTGACATCTTGACAAGTGAAATATTTCGATTATTTTGTTTAGAAAAAGAAAAAAAGAAGTGCTCTTGCAAAGATCTTTATGGTGCTGTGTCAAAAAATCAATGAAAAAAGAAAGTCTGGTATTAGTGGGCTTAGTTGATATTTAAAAAATCTAAACTGTTTTATAAAAATTATTATTATCAAAAAAAAAAGGATTTCCAAAAATAGCAAAAAATCATGACAAAAAAATTTTTTTCGGAAGATATAATCTGAATCAATAATTACCAATCAAACTTAGAAAATAATTAAGTGATAAAATAGTTGATGTTTTTTAAGGTCAACTTTAACCAGAAATAAATAGTTTTCATGTATTTGGCTGTATGAGTCAATTGTCATTTTCAATCGAAAATTTGCTACAATATATAATATTAAATTATGTTATTGTAAAAGTTACTAGGATATCAGCCTAGTAACTAATACAATAATAGTTACTTAATTGGTGCATGTTAATTAATTTTGCACGATGCACCTACTTTGTAATAAAAACAATTCTAACTATTTATACCATAATTATTTAAACTGTTTAAATTATTTAAATTATTTTCCAAAAATATTTATTTGAAAATGATTTAATCTGCTCATTATTTGATCAACTCTATATGAAACCATGCCATTATAAATCTTAAAAATAACAAAATAATATACCATAGAGTTGTTTTCCAATGATTTATATTGCTTAAAACTAATCCAATCATGTCCCATAAAGACTTTAACATTACAACTTCTTTACCACAAGCTTTAAGCTGTTTGAAATCTGGTACATTTACTTCAAATAAACTTGCAGACTGATGGAGACCTTGCATCTCAGCTTCTAAGTCTGATATACGATTATGCCACTAAAAATAAATAAACAACTTTGATCAAATTCTAAACTATTATGAATACCATTATACCAATAGAACTTTTTTTTATTTACGTTTATGTATACATTTGTAAATAAATGTGTGTCCATATATATATATATATATATATATATATATATATATATATATATATATATATATATATATATATATATATATATATATATATATATATATATATATATATATATATATATATACATACATATATATACATATATATGCATATATATATATACATATATATATATATGTAGTACTTACATATTGGGCTATTTAAAAGCTATGTAGCAGTTTATATAGTAGCTATATTACAAGCAGTAATTATGTCCTTGAAAGAATTTAAAAAAATTAAATCTAATTTAAAGGATCAACTGATTCTACCCGCAATTGTGTGGGCTTTTGTATATATATATATATATATATATATATATATATATATATATATATATATATATATATATATATATATATATATATATATATATATATATATATATATATACCAGTAATAAGAGTAATTTTTCGGTAGGCAGTGGTCAATACAAAAGTAGAGCAAATATATATTATTAGAATAATAGTTAAGTACAATTAAATTTAATTGTACTTAATTATTTTTTTAATATAATTCTACAAAAATACATGCAACTTTTTCAAACTTTTGTATTTTGCTATAATTTTTCAAAAAAACCAGATTTAGCATAAAATGTTATTCGATTTTAGTTGAATTTCTAATGATTGTTTATTTAAAAAAAACTTTATTTTTACAAATTGTTTTTGTTTTTTCTTGGTGATTGTGCTTTTTCCTCCATAATTCCTTTTGTAGTTGAGCAAGAATAACAGCAAATCTTGTCTCTTCTCTTCCTTTTTTGCAATATTAATGTTGTCCTTTATAAGTTTAACAGTTCTTTTAGAGCTATCACAAAACAAAAAATGAACTGTGTCACTTTTAGAGATTTTCTATAGTAATTCGAACACTCTGAATTCAAATAACACATTTTTTATCTGACTTGTTGTTTTAATATTAAGATTTATCTGTTATACTGATATTGCTTTGATTATGCATTTTTTCTTTATATATTTTTTTGATGAAAACGTTTTTTCTTAAAACTGTTTTCTTAAAACTGTTTTACTCTTTTTTGTTTTAGATATTGTTTAACAGTTATGCAATTTCTATAAATTGTAAACTATCTGCAGACTCGTTGTGAAATATATTTGGGTTTATTATATTGAGTCAAAACTGCCAAAACATCAATAATTGTGTGGGATTAAGCTATGGACCAAAAACACTGTGAGCTTTGAGATTGTAATAGGTGATCTGGACAAGAAATGTACTTCTCATGTGTCATGCAGTACTTATAGATCAGCTTTAAATGGCTGGCTACGAAGAGGTCAAAAAAGCATGCTATTTGCTATTCCTCACATGTGTAGAGAACCAACAAATCACTCTATAGACTGCTAATTCTGCATGATCAATATATTAAGATGTTAAAAAATTATGAATGGATCAAGGCTTACATATCTTGATATTCTGTCATCAATTGCACCAGTTCCACATAATGAACTGTAGCCAGTTTTTGTTCTATTAACTTTATCATCAAGTCTTACCATTTTAATCATTCTTCCTTCAACAGATGAATATAAAGAATGGTGTTCATCAATTTTCAAACAGCCACATTTTCCTAAACAAAGCAAAATGGATGAAAAACAGTCTTTTGAACCTTCATGTAGAAATCATTGCAAGTCTAATATTTTGGGCCACCAATAATCTATGATCATTGGAACTAAGTTTGGAGGTTTTAATCCTTTGAAATTCAAAGAAATAAGGATCTCCATGTTAATCCACACTATGAAATTCATAGCTGTATAGTTTTCAAGTAATTTCTCCTCTTTCTTCAATTTTTTTAATTAGCTAGAGCTAGCACAATAAAACAATGGCTCAGAAACCACATGTGTCATTATCATCTTCATTTTTTTCAGAATCATTTGAGCTGAACTCATTGTCTGACATGGCTTTATATAAATTTGATTTCATTTCAAACTCAGATAAACTCCTGTTAATAGTGAAAATGTACCTTGTGTCTATTCCACCTATTCTAGATTTTCTCTCTTTTAATTAAGTTACAATTAGAATTTTTACTTAAACTTGAGATTAATTATTTCCTGTTATTTTTAAATAAAATTTCAAATTTTTGCTTAAAAGTTCTTTGCAAAGTTACAGCAGTGTGCATAAATCAGAAAAAATCAAATATATTTGAAATTTCGTAGACAGTTTTACATAAAATCTTTCAATAAAATTGTCATACATTTTTTTTGTTTCTTTTAACTGAGAACTAATTTTAGAAAAAAAAATTGAATTATTTTGAAATATAGAATTAGCTCAATTGTGCTAAAAATGGGCTCTAAAAAAGTTAAAAAAAGTCTAAAATAAAACCATTGAGTCACTTGAGCAACCCCTAAAAGTGATCAAATTTCAAAATTAAAAAAATTCCACTAATAAAACAGGGGTCTGCACAGGAAATGCATGGAAACTTTAAATCTTTTCATGATCTCAAATTAAATCACATGATTTAAGGTTTTTTAATATATTTTTTTAATTTTATTAGCATTGTGATGATAAATGTTTTATATTTATAGAACTATACATTTTTTATATGTTAACTATACATATACAGTTGTGAACAAAATAATAGTACCTCATCAATACGCTTGTAAACATCTTCAGAATCGAAATTTAAAGGTGCAGTCTTTCGAAACTCTTCACGAAACTCATGCTGTCTCACCTAGAGTAAATATTTTAGGTTTACTGTTAAATAAAAACTTTAGAATCCGGCAAATAAATAGTTATAAAAGTTATAATGATAACCAGTAAGTTAAAAAAGTTGCAGTTAAATTATGATACTAACATCAAAACTTATACAATTTCTTCTAATGATAGCTACTTCATTGGCTTGTAATGGTGCAACATATTGTTTAACTGTGACACAAATTTTTTTGGTATTATTCCATTTTTCTGGAAGCTCCTATAATATTTAAAAAGTACCCACATTAAGTTAAAATATAAAGAAAGAAAATAAAAGAGATAAGACAATGTGATAGAAAGTTAAAACCAAAATAAAAACCTGTAATAAAGTATGGATTTCTTCGCTAAGTTCTTGGTTGTATGATTTAAGTAGCTCAATTGTTTGTTTTAGTGGTTCAAACATTGCATCAGTTAACTGTGTTCGATCTTTTACAGCCATTAAATGACCCATACATTCTACCAAACCATTTAAATCATTTTCTTGAACAGGTTTTAACAATCCTTGGTCCGTCGTTTTAATAAATGCTGATAAACTTGTAAGACTAAAAGTAGTTATATTTTATATAAACTTTCTACATTTTATTAATTTGTTTATCTATCTTTTAAACTTTCAATATGTTTGCTGAAAAATATTGTACAACATTTAGATTACAATAAAAATTATTTTTAATAATTATATACTATATTTTTTTATTTTTATATATATAACTAAAAAGTGATGATTTTGTGGCAAAACAGAAGTATATAGTTGTGTCTTCGCAACTATATACAACCTGTTTTTAGAGAGAAGATATTTTTGGAAAATAGTTAAAGGTGTTGGAATGTTCTCCAAAGTTTTTAAAAAGCTTTTAGCATTAGAAATTAGATCCAAAATTATTAAGATCAAAACCATGTATTAGAGATAGATAAATAGATAATGGGGTAGAATAGGCTTGATTTGAAACCAACAAGAAGTAGTAAAAACTTCCATGCATACTTAAATCCATAGTGCCTGAATCCATTACATAAAAGGCATAATTATCAGTAGGAGAAACAAAAAAACATCAGACCATAAACAAAGGAAATCACAAAAAGAATCTCAACCAACATTAGTAGTAAAATGTGTAATGATAGGATGAGTCCTAAGAAGAGATTTGAGTTTTAGTGACACCATAGCATGATTTTAATCACATAATTTTGCTAGAGATAAAATTTAACAGATGAAAAGTTACAATTAAAACTGCAAATATTCGTAAAAGAAAATTGAAACAATTAGATAGTTTTTTATGTTTAAAATTTTTAGATATTACTTTAGTCATGTTTTAAGTTATAAGAGAACTTGACTCAATCATATATTGTACATAGCGCACTAAGCAATGAGCTATGCAGTTGCCTTAGTCCTGCTAATTAATCTAAAGTTGTAACAAAAAACTTTTTATGTGGCCTCAACAATGCACACCAAAAGTACTAACAGGGACACTAATCATGCACAACATGACACTGTTACTACTCTGATGTTTTACAGCTGTTGATGAAAGCCTCTCTGAGAGCTACCGCAGAGTTCAAGAAAACTTACTGAGTTCTAGAGCTGTACCTTCTTTAAAATGTAACAGAAAGATTTGCATAACCACTACTAACAAGGTACTAGCAATAACCCATCAATAGAGTCAAAAAGATCCAATATTCATCATCCAAAACAGGAAACAATGCACCACAAGTTTACATTTATGAGAGCCTAATAGATGGAATAGAGGTTCAAAGCTGGCCATGATAAAATTTCTGCCTACCCCTAAAGCCTTTGCCTCGAAGGCTATCTATAAAACAGTAGTCAGATGCAGGTAACATCTGTTCATGATAAATTTTTTTTCAAGACACTATCTCAAGCCTTTATTAAACCAAAAGCCCAAGGGCAATGGAATGTTAACTCAGAATTAACTTCTCCTAGTCTTTGCCTAGAAAAGTGAAAATGGTTCAGGTTATACTAGATTACATGTTACCAGTACTACAGCAGAACATGGGGTAGGTTGTAGATAACATGTTACCAGTAGCAGTTATATTATAAGTAAATTACAAGTTGTAAAGATCAGAACTAGGATAAAATAGTTTGTGTTGAGTACATAAACGCAATAATAAATCAAAAAGTATTGATAATCTCCTGATGATAGGAAACAGTTCTCTCTTGATCAAATCTCTTATGATGATAGGAAACAATTCTTTTCAAAAAATATTCTCAGGTCATTATCACTCAATAAATCATGGTAACCAACAGGCTAAAATACAATTAGTAAAAATTAAAAGCTAAATAAGTATGCAGATAACTATAAAAAAATTAAAAAGTAAACAAATTAGGTGATAAATGCAATATATACTGAAAAACATATACTGCCTGAATAACATCAAGTTGAAGACAATATTATTTTTAGAATAACTATAAAAATTATAATGAAGACTGTAGAGTGCAAATAACAAACTAATTTAGCAATGTTAGATAAAGAAAATACAATAGAAATGAAAGAACAAAGCAATTTAATAACTAAATAGTAATTTTTTCAAAACCTAATAAGTATAATGGAATCTGATTACAAAAAAATCTATTCTAGAATTATATTTAAATATATCTATGGTACTTTGTATTTTTTATTGCCTATGGTATCCGATTTAATATTACTTTGGAGGTCTGGCTTTAATTGTGAGTCATTTATTTAATTCCTAAATTTAATTGTTTATAGATATAGATAGATCTGATTTGAATTTTCGAAGCTTCGCAGAGCCCTTATAATAAAATACGTTCTAGTAAATTTTTTATTGTAAGTTTTATACTAGCTCATTCAGTGTATATACTATGACCAGAAATATACTATATTATACTATTTCTAAGTCACTGACACAGTAGTGCAGTTAGTTAGTATGCTGCTTCATAGACAGGCAACTCAAGGTTTATAATATGCCAGGGTTTCTCTTTTACACTTATCCTATTTTTACTTTTGTTATGCAAACATCCATTATGCCAGCTTAAAAATACAGATGTGTTTCTATATATTATAGTATAGTTGATTATGTAAGATGCTTGTTTTGTCTCCCCTCCCCTTCTCCTCCTTCATTCTCACCTATTCTGTGTCTACCTGACTTGACAGTTAGTCACGTGTACGCCATCACAGTGTTTGTAACAACCATTAGCCAATATAAATTCTCCCATCATATTTTAGAAGTTTCACATAATTTTTTCACATGCTTTAAACTACTAACTGCCATTCTACAATTAGCTTTTTGTTACTGCAGATGTAATCTTCCTACACAAGAGTATACCACATAAGGATGGCATAGAAGCTGTCAACCGCCACTTTGACAAGGCATCACACATCCTAAGACCACCTGTTTCTCCATCTTTAGAGTATATACAAATCAACTGTAACAATCAACAACTCACAGGCACCTTGATTGGTGCATGCATGGACTCTTTATTTATGGGTACACTGGATATAGTCATAACAAGAAAATATCAACATAGCATCAACTTTTACAAAAGATTTTTTAATGACATTATTTTTATATTCCCTTAGGTTCCTTAGGAGATCTCCAACATTCATGCACATCCTACTATTAAATTCACATTCAAACACTTGGACCTGACTCTTTACAAAAATCATGCTCCACAAATACATAGCACATTACACTTAAATATATAAAACACAACAAACCTCTTACATTTTGGCTTGGAACCATTTAGACATCATTAACAGAAATATTCCCAAAACATTGAACCTCCTAACAATAATATTACTCCTATTGTCACACTATACAAAGAACAAAGTATGAAGATCAGCAATATCACTTTGCACAATTGGCACATCATTAACAATAACCCAGAACTAACCACACAGTTACTGCCAAGACCAACTGTGACACAGCCATTTCTAAGAAATGGGTGTGTCACAGTGGATCTTTTTCATAAGATTTGTTGTGTATTTACGACTTTTTGTCAAAAACTCACAACACATCTTTTTAACTAAATATCTATCTACTATTCCACCCATATTTATAAGGTTGGGTATGCCACTGCTCCACTCACATGTTAATAATATGTATTTAAAATTATAAAAAAGAATAAAAAATTAAATACTTAAAACAGGCTAGAGTAAAATAGTTTTTAAATGCTAGACAAAATAAAAAATACTATTAAACTTCCTCCTCAAACTATAAATAAAATTTAAAGCAGAAACAAAGCATTCATATTGAAGGTTAAACCATAAATTGAAAAAACAGTTAATAAATCAACAAAGAATAAGACTAGATAATAAAACAAACATGAAACCAGCCTACTAATTTAATTTGATTGTATGTTAGACAAGATAAGAAATCCTCCCCTCTTCCCCTTTTAGGTATACTTAACTGTAGTAAGTGTTTATATTGTAGATAAGACCTTAAAGTGAATAACCAAGCAATACATAAATACAAAATTAGAGAGCAAAATACAAGATTTGTACCCTAAACCAGACCACCAAACAATTTTACATTAGAAACTAACAGGGTTACCACTAGGCAAGATAATTACTACCATTATATCTCACCCCTTGACATTTTTATAAAAAAGCTAGATATAATTCAACAATAAATAAAAAAATTTAAGTAAATATAAAGCATTTATAAAATCAGAAATAGGACTTGAGATACGATTAGAAAATTTTCAAAAATCGAATCCTTACTAATTATGTTTTTGTTATGGGTATTTTAGATATTCTGCGCTTTGGCCTATCAAAATAACGTTACTTATCCTTAAATCCTATCCAAAATAACGTTACTTATCCTTTTTTAATCAGTCATTAAAAAGGTTAACCAGGGCAAGAAGCATCAATAAAGAGATTAAACAATTGTTTCATTTTATTTTATTTTGAAATATACATTATTAAAAAAAAATGCTTAAATTTAGACTTCAAAATGTTGATTCGAAACATGATTCGAATTGCAAATTAAGACCTCCTTTCATTCAAGATTCAATTCGAAACAAAAACTGACAATTTGCAGGGCCCTATTTATTATATGACCTTATTTTAATTGTTATTAAAATATTATACTTTAAGCTAACTGCAAAAAAATTAAAAAACTTTATTTCTTTTCAGTTTTCTAGAGGGCAATTATTACATTTTATGGTTTGTGAACAACTGTAGATACCTATTTCCTTAACAACCCAACCTTCAACACAGTTTTTACTAAGTTTTATTGGTTATATATATATATATACATATATATATATATATATATATATATATATATATATATATATATATATATATATATATATATATATATATATATATATATATATATGTATATATATCTATATATATATATATATATGTATATATATATATATATATATATATATATATATATATATATATATATATATATATATATATATATATGATTTAAAGGATACCATCTTGTGTGAGAGTATATTTATATATTACTTTAAAACATCAAAAATACGATTTCTCTCAACACTTATAATTTTTTTATTATTATAGAAATTTTTGCTGGATTTTAGATACCAGCTTCTTCAGCTTGTTAAATGTTACAGTAATTAATAAAATCGTTATAATTTAAATTAAAACATTGCTATTGACGTCAGCGGTTGAATGGCTTCTTTTTCGCTGAAATTTAAAAAATGGCGTCCAAAACTTAGTTTTTACGTATTGACCCTCATCGAGATTAATCCCGCCATTTTTTGCAGAACACATGTTTTTTTGTATTTCTAGGGCTTCCCTAACTTTTCTTTCAAATTTTTTATTTTCTACTTTCAATGTTTTTGTTTGTTCCCAAATAATTTCTTTTTTGCAAAATGTTTTATGCAGAGCTAATGCGGATTGATGCTGCTTATTTTCATCAATGCTTTTTTGGTGTTGATGCATTCGTGTGTTTACTTTCATTGGAACTTCAATTTTTCCATTTTATGAATTCCAGATTCAAGTTTTCCATTATATGAATTTCATTGGAACAATGAAATTCATATAATGGAAAACTCGGGTCCAATTGGACTTTTGTTCATGGTCTTTCTTGCAGAATCATTTCTACAATTCCATGAAAACAATGCAATTAAAGTTGCACTAAATTTCAACCCTGCACTTAACCTCAAATCGTTCTTAAGATATGTCGATGATAGTCACGCAAGGTTTTCAGATCTCAACCAAGCAAAACATTTCCAATACATTTTAAATCAACAACATCCTTCCATCCAGTATACAATTGAAGTTGAAAACGAGTTAGGAACACTAAATTATCTGGATATACAAATTATGAATAAAAAAACAGGAAAGTATGAATACGCAGTATATCGGAAAGATGCTATCACTAACATTCAAATTAAGCCACACTCAAATCATGATCCAAATATCTTGAACTCTATTTTTAAAGGATTTCTCCACCGAGCTTACTCAATCTGTAGTAAGTCTTACTTGCAAAATGAAATAAATTTTCTAATCGACGTGTTTATTGAAAATGGTTACAATAAAACTCAAATGATGAATATTGCGCATCAGTTTCAACACAAAAGACAAAATAAAATTACAATTCCATCTGAAATCAATAATTATCCTGTAGTTTCCTTACCATGGGTACCCGGTCTCTCACCAAAACTTAGGAAAATATTCCGAAAAGCTGGTTACAGAGCGGTATTCAAATCAAACCCAAACTTAAGATCCCTGTTAACATCAAAAAATAAATCAAAACTACCTAATAACAGTCAACCGGGAACATATATAATCAAATGCAACTGTTCAAAAGTGTATGTAGGCGAAACAAAAATGAAAGTAAACACACGAATGCATCAACACCAAAAAAGCATTGATGAAAATAAGCAGCATCAATCCGCATTAGCTCTGCATAAAACATTTTGCAAAAAAGAAATTATTTGGGAACAAACAAAAACATTGAAAGTAGAAAATAAAAAATTTGAAAGAAAAGTTAGGGAAGCCCTAGAAATACAAAAAAACATGTGTTCTGCAAAAAATGGCGAGATTAATCTCGATGAGTGTCAATACGTAAAAACTAAGTTTTGAACGCCATTTTTTAAATTTCAGCGAAAAAGAAGCCATTCAACCGCTGACGTCAATAGCAACGTTTTAATTTAAATTATAACGATTTTATTAATTACTGTAACATTTAACAAGCTGAAGAAGCTGGTATCTAAAATCCAGCAAAAATTTCTATAATAATAAAAAAATTATAAGTGTTGAGAGAAATCGTATTTTTGATGTTTTAAAATAATATATATATATATATATATATATATATATATATATATATATATATATATATATATATATATATATATATATATATATATATATATATATATACATATATATATATATATATAGATATATATACATATATATATATATATATATATATATATATATATATATATATATATATATATATATATATATATATATATATATATATATATATATATACATATACATATATATACAAAGTAAAGCACTTGCTCTGTAAAAAAAACTCCAAATTCAACTACCACTTTTGGGAGGTGAATACAGTTAAAAAATATATAAGTTTATTACCACATATATATATCATAAAAAATGTAAAACAGAATAGCATTTCTAAGATGATTTATTGATTATTTAATAACCACAATTTTAATAATATTTACATAATAATATTATTTAAATATTATTATTAAACAATGTTTCATAAAAAATATTTAATACTAACCTATTTTGGACATGATCAATCAGATACTGTTTAAACATAAAACTCCATCTCTTTACTATATTTAACAAAGCTTGTTTAAAAGGTTTTACATCAACGCGAAACCATCCATCAAAAATAACTATTCCATTGATTTCCTCAATTTCAGCATACAACCTTTCATAAATACCAATCTAAAAATAAAAACTATTCCTAGAAAAACTACGTAAATGTTAATATTAATATGATACTACATAAATGTTAATATTAATATGATACTACATAAATGTTAATACTAATATGATATTACATAAATGTTAATATCATTATGATATTACATAAATGTTAATATTAAAATGATATTATAAAACATAAACAAAAAAAAGCATCAAATATTTTTGTATTTGCATGAAAATTTAGAATTAAAATGGTTTTCAACAATTTTTTAAGTTATTTAATTGATATTATGTTTATAAACAAATAAAAATCTAAACTAATAGAAAAACAGAGACAATATTTTAGATTTAAAACTTATGACTTGCACAAAAACATGTACAAGAACTAGACTGAAAAAATATTGGTTAGAAATATTAAAAATTATGTACAATTTAAGTAAAGAAGTCTTTTAAAACTAAACTAAAGTCTTTTTAAACTATACTAAAATTAAAGACAAACAACCTGAACAACAACATATAGGACTTACTTGTTCTTTAAACTGTTGCAATGTTGGAGAACTTTCAGGAATCTCACCTTCCCCATGCCTCTCTAACTCTTCTAGTGTCAATGTGCGACCATATTTTAAAAATTGATTCATAAACTCATTGCGCTCATCAGTCCATAAATATTCATAACAATGAAAAGAATTGCGATAATCACATGCTTTGTTCATTACATTTGAAACATGTTCAAGAATTTCTGTTCTCATCTCTGAAAGTTCCTCAAGTACTTCAATGTCATACTTTGTGAAAATTAAGGTAAATAGGTATAACAAACAAAAAATACAAAGTATAAAAACACAAAAAATAATAAGAATAAAACAATAATAAATAATAAAAAGTAAGTAATAAATTAAAAAATATAAGTTATTATTGATTCCTTATTTCATTATTTCCAGTGAATAATCTAAATGTTACAGCTATGTTTGGTCTCATATATTTTCTAATATATTCATACTTCCCAAACCAATTGTCGCAATGCAATTTTTGCCAACTTGAAATTATTGTTAGATGTATTTAAAAACATTTTGTAATAAAATGTTAACTTAAAAACTTAATTTATATGACTCCTTATAGAAAAAAATATAGAAAAAAATCATTATAAAAAATTATGCGAGATATCAAAATGTTATTTGAGCGAAGAAATTCTTTCATATTTTATAACTTTTATAACTTTATTTAAAATTTTAGCCTTATTTTAAATTTTAAAATTTAAATTTGTAACATTTGCATATGTTAATAATCATGAATAAAATTTCAATTTTCAGCTGAACTTAGAAATTTAAAGTGTCAAAAAAAACAAAAACATTAGCTTTTAGAATTATTGATTTAAAGTCTTTATGATTTATTAAGCATAACTTAGCATAATTTAACATAATAACTTAACATAATAAATATGCTGAAAAATAAAATAAAGCAATTGTTCTTAATCATTACTTTTTACTGATAATATTTTAAAACTATTTTAGTAACAAAAAAACCTGATAATTTGGTTGATCATAATGCGATGCAAGACGATTTATGAGACTTGCTTGGGAGTAAATATCGGACAAAATCTCTTCAACAATTGTAAAAAAACATCCTTTACAATTAAAATCTAAAGGAGGTACAAAAATCAAATCAGGTGCTTGTAACTCCAGCCTTGATTCAAATAAAGGAAATTGAACTAGTTTTGCATCTGTGCTAGTGAGAATAAATTGTAATGAACAATGAACAGCTTTTAGAAAACCTTCAACTACCATATCATCTAAATACTCAATATAAGATTTCCAAATTTCAGATTCTGCATCAGCTGAAAAAGCATTTTTATTTTCTAAAACTAATTTAAATATTTGATCTCCAGTTTCTTTGATAAAGTCATAACGTTTTTTTAATACAAGAGGTTTATCCTATAATAAATGAAAAAAAAATAAAACATATTTAAAGAAAAATACACTTTAATATATAATATATTGGAAGTTAAACTTTAAAAGTATAATATAAGGGCTATTCAATAAATAAAATATACTTCAATATATAAAAGTCCATCTTTTTTCCCATCTTTTCTATCATAAAGTGGAGCAAGGCTCCATTTACTCATTAATGTTTTTATCACGGCAACATTAGATTTTGCTGACTGAACGTTTTGCTCTAGCTGATGAACCATATCTCGAGATTGATCAATATATTCCCATATTCCTAAAACATAAATATTTTAGTATTAATATATAAACATATTCCTAAAACATAAATATTTTAGTATTAATATATAAACATATTCCTAAAACATTAATATTTTAGTATTAATATATAAACATATTCCTAAAACATAAATATTTTAGTATTAATATATAAACATATTCCTAAAACATAAATATTTTAGTATTAATATATAAACATATTCCTAAAACATAAATATTTTAGTATTAATATATAAACATTTATCTATAACTTATAAATTTGAATGATTTTGCAACAACTACATATTATTCTAAATCCTAAGAAATTAAAATAAATTAAATGAAAAAGTATTGAACAACTAAAATATTAAAATTTTTTGCTAGCAAATAAATTAAATGAAAAAGTGTTGATAAACCATTTTCTATGTTATAAACTGTAAATAGATAAAATTGGTTTTACCTTGACTATTCCAGTTTAGCTTGTCTTCAGCTTCTTTTAATTGCCTGTCTATAACATCAAGCTGATTTTTTATTAGCGGATATTCAACATCTAGAACTGTTAAACAAACTTTATTGTACCAAGCAACAATCAAGTCAAGGTTTGCACAATACTTATTGAACTCATTATTTCTCTCAAAAACTGCCAAAGCACATTCAGGAATGCTGTCAAGAGCGGTATTTTCTGTCATTTCAAGATATTTCACTTCTCTAAGGACAGCAACCAGCTAAAATGAACTTATTTATAACTAAAAAAACTATTTTGAAAAAAATTTCCATTATTTACTTTAGCTAAATGAAGAAAAAAAAACTAATTTTAAAAAATAAAAGTTTTTTAAATATAACAAAAAAAAATTTAATTTTTAACTGCAACTTTATTTATTAGTTGATGTAATTTCAAAACTAGCTTTTTTAAAATAAAAAAACAAATTATTATTCATTATCTTTCTATACATATGATATAATTTTTACTGAGTAACAATTATCTTATTAAACTTTTTTTCTTTCCTCGCATGCATTAAATCTATGTTGCCTAAACTAATCAATTAAAGCTTGCAGAGAAATATGAAATACTTATGTAAAAAATCCTGTCAAGGAGAAGAATACAATCAAAGATAAAGAAACAAATGTTTAAAAAGAATAAAGATCAAAACTGAGGAGAAAAACATATTTAGAAATAACAATCCTAACCATTTTTGTTACAATTACACATTTAAATACTGAAGGAAAACTATTACACCTTTTATACAAGCTAGATACAAGGATTACTTTATAATGTTATTCAGAAACCAAAACAAATGGTTTGCTCCACATATAATCTATTAAGGTTGCTTTAACTGATTATTTATGTGGGCAAAGTGGTATGCTTACAAAAATGACATTTTCTATTCCAACTGCATGGCATGAGCAAAAATCACTTCAGCGACTGTTATTTTTGTTATACTATTATTTGTGATTTAAACAAGAAAAATAATTTTATAAAGATGTTATAATTAATTTTAAAAATATATTATACCTGTGGATCAAAGTTAACATAAATAAGATTTTTCTCTTTGTTTCTAACAATGAGTGGTTTGTTTAGATTTTGATCAGCTATAACATTAACTCCAGAAGTCCATTTACTGTAGATGCTATCCTCATAACTAGTTAAACAAATTTTTTAGTTAAAACATCTTTATAAAATTTACATAAATCTTGCAAAATGTAAATAACCTTTTTAAAAAACGATTCATCTCTTCATACTTTTCCAAAATAACATTACCAATTTTACTTTGCATAATTCTAAAATATAACAAAAACAAAATTGAAAAGCTGATACAAAATTAACTCTCATTAAAAAAAAAAAAAAAAAAAAAAAATATTAAAAAGAAATTTAAATAAAGAAAGAAAAATTATATTTACTTTCTATTGAGGGACATTTTTAAATAATAAACAGGAACGTGGTATCTAAGATGCAATTGTTGACACCACCGTAATATGCCTGCTATACATGGCATATTTTTTCCAATAACTTGTTTATTTTTATTTGTCAAAAAGACTTGGTTATCAAAAACAATTTTTGCTTGATCTAGCTCATCTTCAACCATTTTCAAAAGCACCTCATATTTGCTTTCAAAACTTTTAGCAATCAATGGACGATCCAAAAGAGATCCAAAAATATCAATTAACTAAGCAAAAAAAAAAAATTTAAATTGACTTTTTTTTCATTGTGTAAGTGTACTTAATAATGTAAATAAAAATGAAACTGTTTATTTAAAAAATTACTTTGAACTTGGCTTCTAAACAGGAACAATTATTAAACGCATGATTAATGATAGCAGCAAGACGAATATCTAAGTCCTTAATTATCGACTGAAACTTATGATAATCCTTGTCGAAATTCTAAGAGAAATTAAAAACTCATAAAATTAAACAAGTTTTTGATATCCTGTCAATTATCAAAACACATTTGATATGCAGTCAATTAAGAAAACATCTTCTTAGTTACAAGACATTGTAGATCCATCAATTTTGATAATAAGTTTATAGCAAATAATTTAAAAGAAAAACAAATAATATATATATATATATATATATATATATATATATATATATATATATATATATATATATATATATATATATATATATATATATATATATATATATATATATATATAGTGTTTATTCTTGAGAATTCTTTCTCAAATAATTCTCAAGAAATTTTTTATTTTGATTTTTATTATTTCGAGAAAATTTATTTAATTTTCAAGTTAACAATTATGTTTAATTATGTTTTGAACAAATGATTATTTAATTAACATTTTAAAATCGTACAATCAAATAAACTTTTTAAGATTTTATTTTAATGTTAGTTAGTTAAAAGTTATCGTTTTTCAATTATTTTTCAATTATTTAACATTTATATTTAAATGAAACATGTAATTTCAATGGGTTTTTTGTTATTTATTTCTATCCTTTACCATATTTGCCAAGTTTATTTATATAAGGGAAGTGGAGGCATAACCACTCCAGTAATGTTTGGATTGATGTTAAAAAAAAGTTAAATGTGTCTTTTTAACATATTATTTCAGTAACCACATTATTAAACTCTAAATTGTTGCAATCAGGAAAAAAATAAAACGATTTTTGAAAATGTTATTATAGAAAAAGTAAACTTAGTGAGAAAAATGGTTTTGCCTCAATTGTGAGGCACAACCACACCCTCACAAAAATCGTTGAAGGTACACTTTTCATGGTACATTTTTTAAAAAATAAAGAAATGCACAATTATATACCTACAATATATAATAATATTACAATCATCAAATATACATAAATATAACAACATATTGATTATCTAAAACTCATTTATAAAAATTATGCATATATATATATATATATATATATATATATATATATATATATATATATATATATATATATATATATATATATATATATATATATATATATATATATATATATACCAATTGCCTACCATAAAATATGAACAGTTTGCCAATTTTAGACCTAACCCTCAAATTGTGTTTTATATGTTCTTATTAGAATAGAACTATTTTTGGGGTTTTTGTTCAAAAGGTTTTGTTCCTATTTGAGTCTCATACATACCCACTAGAAAGCAAAATTTTATACACCATTTTTAGCACTGTCAGTTTCCATTAAAATGATACAAATAGCATCACAAATTTTAAAACTGTATAAGGACATAAAGTATTCAAAGGGCTTTCAGTAGAAAAAGAAATGGAACAATTATCTTTTCACTCGGCTGATTTATGGGGCTTCAAAGTGAGGCAACTAAAGGAACCACTTATACTGTTTTTAAAAAATTTCTTAATTCTTTCAGCCTTCAATAATTTTTGTGCCTGTAAGTGTGCTTACTTAAGTCATAAGAATACAAAAATAAGGACAACCAAGATTTTGAGTTGTGATTAAAAAATTTTTTTAACTGTATTGAGACTTTTTAAAATAGGTATTTTTGGTGTATATTTATTATATATCTAATATAATTTTAAAGTTCCTCAAATTAAATAATTCCTAAAACTATTATAGTTTACTACTTTATGGAAGCAAGATTTTCACAAAAGAAAAAAAGAAGTTTTGGAAAATGGTAACCCATTTAAGACTCATCATTAATGGTGAGTTTTACATGGGTTACTATTTATGGTAACCCATTGCATGGAGGAGATAATGTAGTGGTTTGGGCGATATATATCTCCATGAATGGAGGAGATAATTTAATGGTTTGGGTGATACTTTACCTGGAATAGAGTTGGTCCACTGCATAGGCATATATAAATCAAGAAGAGTACAAAGATATATGTAAGACTATTATGTTACCTCATGAAAAGGATAAAATGCCTCAAGGATGGATATACCAACAGGATAACAATCCCAAACATACAGTTAAATCAGCTTTACAACTTTTCAAAAAAAAGTAAAGTTAATTTATTGAAATGGCCATTCCAATCATCTGACTTAAATCCAATTGAACATCTATGGGAATATGTAGACCTCAAATGAAAAATATCAAGCCTACAAATCATGCTGATTTATTTAATAAAACCAAGGAAATCAATTCCCAATGATATTTGTCTTAATTTAGTTGACTCTATGCCTTATAGATGGCAAGCCATTCTTGTTTGTAAAGTACATCCTACAAAATATTATTGCAGTTTTGCTTTTATATAAATTTGTGATCAAATATTGTTAAAAAACTTTTACTATTTTGAAAAAAAACGCTTTGTCTGCAAATTTTTGAATTTAAAAAAAATTGTTGATTTGTATATCAATTTTAAAATGTAAATTACTCAATCATTATTTGTTTAAAACATAATTGTAAACTTGAAAACCTTTTAATCGGTATATATTTTAGCTTTAATGAAATATTAGTAAAATTCATTTTTTTTGTCTGTCTGCAAACTTTTTAAAGCTATATATATATATATATATATATATATATATATATATATATATATATATATGTATATGTATATGTATATGTATATGTATATGTATATATATACACACATTATAATAATAATAATAATAATAATAATAATAATGATAAGCTGTGGCAAGAGAATATTAAAACAAGTATTAAACTTGTAACACAAAGTAAATGAGTTTTTTTTAAGCTCGCTTGAATGGGGTAGCAACCCTTTAGCTCCTTGTTGGTAGGCAATGAACTGTAGCAGTGTTTCGGTAATAAATCATAAAACTAGTGCTGGATAGAGTGTTTGTCGATACAATTTTTAAAGTCATTTAGGTTATGAGAGTCAATTGCAGTTTGTGGGAGTGAATTCCATCGGTTGACTACTCTGTTAGAAAAGAAATTAGGCCTAGTAGAGATAGCTCGCATGTTGTTGTTAAAGTTTGAAGCACTAAAAAACTTTTTGATGAGATGTTGAGAGTGTCCTCGAGTTATTTGGATAGATGAACTGCCAATTTGTGGGTTAAGCCAATAAGCATTTTCTAAGTTATTATTAAATTTATAGTTGTAGATTAAATCACCTTGAATGTGTCTTTCATTTAGTGAGGTGATGTGAAGAAATGATAATCTGGCTTCACTGGATAGCGCTCTAAAAAGCAGAATTGCTTTAGAGGCGCAGTTTTGGACTTTTTTAAGTTTTTTGACGTTGCCTGCAGAAAGTGAATTCCATACAGGAGCAGCATACTCGAAGTGAGGTCTGACAAAGAATGTCTCTTCCAAACATGAGCATTTTTATAGATAAAAGATTTCTTTAGTTGATCAAGAACAGAGTTAGCTTTAGATGATACTATTTCAATGAGAATGTCCCATATGAAGTTGTGTGAGATACAAATGCCAAGATCATATTCATTGTAAGAGGAATCGAGTAGCTGCATTTCTTGTTGAGTCAAAATATAGTATTGGTGATTAGGATTTTTACTTTTGCTAAAACGTACGATAAGGCACTTTTTGTAGTTGAGACGTAAGCGCCAGGTTAGAGTCCAAGACGTGATGTGATATATGTCCTTCTGGAGCAAAGCTGGGCTATCAGGTGTCAAGTTAGTGGAAATAACTTTGCTGTTGTCGGCATATAACTTCATTGGGTTGCTAATAAGGTATTAAATGTATAAACTATTAAATGTAAAGACATCTTTAGCAACCATGCGCAATACCATTTTTTCCATAGAAAGTTAATTTACGAAAAACGTGTCTATTGTTATGACCTTTTTTGATAGAATTACCTCTTCGTCTTCGCAGTCGATATATATTTTAGACTCTAGTTCAACTGATTCATGCTGCTTTGAAGTTGAAGCTCCGTCTTGTTGTAAAACGTTTAATTTTAAATCAGTTCCATGTTTAGTTTTAAAATGGATTAATAACCCTTTTGTTGATCTTTGACTAATTTTTAAAATAGCCGAACATAACATGCACTTCACATTTTCTCCTTTATTACTTTTTTTAAAATAATTCCATATAGTTTTAATTTGAGACATGCTTACTAGGTACTTTTGTTTTAAAATCTTGATGTAAATAATTTTTGAAGTCTTTTTAAAAAGTAGTGTGCTTTTTATTAATCACGTTTTTCAATTTAATGTTTTCAACATACTCATCAACAAAAATTTCAATATACTCATTAGCAAAAATTTCAACATAGTCGTTAACAAAACAAAAAAAATTTGAACGAGTTTCTCAGTATACATTTCATTGTGCACTTAATGACTATTTTATGACTAATCATTAACAAAACAAAAATTTGAATGAGTTTCTTAGTATACATTTTATTGAGCATTTAATGACTAGTAAACTTTTAAATGAATTTGTTATGCAAATACATTAAATACTTTAATTTGATATCTTTTTCGTTTTTGTTTATAGAATTGCTTTTTTTTATTTAAAAGCAATAATTTCAAAACTCAGCAAATCCTGCGGATCCTGCAAATCCCGCAGTAGTTTTTGCGGGATCTCGCATGCGCTAAAATAATGTGGGATCCCGCGGGATTGCGGGATCACGCAATGCGGGATTGCAATCCCTAATAGCAACATAAATATATTTATATGTATATATATATATATATATACATATATATATATATATATATATATATATATATATATATATATATATATATATATATATATATACATATATATATATATATATATATATATATATATATATATATATATATATTTATATAAATAGAGAGAGAATATATATATATATATATATATATATAGAAACATATATATACATATACATATATATACATATATATATATATATATATATATATATATATATATATATATATATATATATACATATATATATATATATATATATATATATATATATATATATATATATATATATATATATATATATATATATATATATATATATATATAT